AATCCAGGTCACTCATGACAGAGGCTCAAGCTCTGGGAGACTGGGCAGAGGAAAACCTCACCTCCATCAGGGCCGAGCATATCTCGGGGGAGGCAAACAGGCAAGCGGACTTCCTAAGCAGGTCGACTGTGGATCATGCCGAATGAAGTCTGCACCCAGACCTATTCGTGGAGATAACACAGAGGTTCGGGCGGCCAGTTGTAGATCTGTTTGCATCCCCGGCGAATGCCCAACTCACAAGGTTCTTCTCAAGGTTCCCATCATGGGGGGCGGGGGAAACGGACACCCTACATTGCCCTTGGTCAAGGGGACTACTTTACGCATTTCCTCCTCTTCCGCTGATCCCGGCGGCCATCTGCAGAGCATTGCAGGAACGGGCGGAGATCATACTTGTAGCCCCACACTGGCCATGCAGACCGTGATTCGTAGACCTGGTGAACCTCTCCAGGTCCCCTCCATGGAGAATACCTTTGGATCAAGTGTCACTCAAGTGTCTGGATCTACAACACCCAGAACCCCAATGGCTTCAGTTAGCCACCTGGCACTTGAACACCAAATCTTGAGTGGGGAATCGTACCCGCCAAGAGTAATCTCCATGATCCAAGCATCCCGCCGACCGGCCACCAATCACATCTATGACTCCACCTGGAGAAATTTCTGCAATTGGTGCGAGAAGCGAGCGCTGGAGGTCTCGGGCCTGACAGTCCCAAACATACTGGAATACTTACTCAATGGCCTAGACAGGGGCCTAGCACCGAACACCATTCGCAGGCAGGTCGCGGCTTTTCCACTCTACTCACCTGTGCCAATACAGTTCCCCTAGCACAGCACCCCAGGATTCGCGCCTTAAGGACGCCTCCCATGCAAAACCGCCCGTGGTTCATAGGTACCCCTCATGGGAACTACCATGGGTTCTTTGGGCCCTCACCAGAACCCATCAAGTCTTGCACTCTGAGGGACCTATCCCTCAAAGTAGCTTTTTGGGTCGCCGTAACCTCGGCCAGATGCATTTCCGAGCTCGCGGCTCTGCCAGTCAGGGAGGACCTCTGCACCTTTCATCAGGACCGGGTGGTCCTTTGATTGGACCCAACCTTTATTCCGAAGGTTAACACCCTGTTCCATAGGGCCCAAGAGATCGTCCTACCGGACTTCTGTGCCAACCCGTCTCATTCCCTGGAGCAACAGTGGCACACACTAGATGTCCGGAGGGCACTACGACATTATATCGGGCGAACGGCATCCTTACGCAAATCAGAAGCTCTCTTTGTTTTGTTTCACCACACCTCTAGTGGACAAAAGGTGTCTGCCTAAACCATAGGCAGGTGGATCAGACTTTGTATTGCGGAAGCGTATCAATCGCTTTTCCTACCTACACTAGGACAAATCACAGTGCGTTCCACTCGGAGTGCTGCAACCTCCATGGCGTGGACCACACAGGCCTGTATCGAGGAAGTTTGCAGGGCGGCGACATGGTCTTCGCCCTCCCCTTTATCTGACATTACAAAATAGACTGTTTTGCCTCTGCGGACGCCTTCTTCGGAAGGAGGGTTCTGCAACAGGCGATTTCTACCAACACAACTTCACCCTCTTCTGTTTCCCACCCATTGGGACAGTGAGGCTTGGTATGTCCCATTGGTGGATTCTACGTCTCCAGTGCTGGAGAAGGGGCGTTGTCTTACCTGAATGCCTTTTCTCAGCACGGAGACATAGAATCCACTCCCACCCTTAAAATCATTAAGATCATATTAGAGAACCGGGAGCCATCACATCAAAATTGTGGTCAGCTGCTTCGCCTTCGTCAAGAATGGGAAGAGCTACCCCAGGACGGGCGTGAGAAATTAGCTGACTCGGTCTAATGGGCAGGAAGGCACAGTTAACCCATTGGTGGATTCTATGTCTCCATGCTGAGAAAAGGCGTTCAGGTAAGACAACGCCCCTTCCCTGCCTTTTCCAAGTGTGTGTGCATGTGCTCATCAGATTGGCCTGGGCAACTATTTTACAGAATGAGCTACTCCCAGATTCTAATCTGGATATGGGGAAAATTTGTTTTTTTGTATCAAATGTGACCTAAAGAAATTTCTTATCCTCTGATAAGTCTGTTTCTCTCCGTTTTTCCTACCCAGCACAGAGAAAAGACAGAATAGTTAATTCTATCCAGAGAATATATGTTTTCCTCCCCCAACTCTGAGAGAACTCCCTTCTCTTAGTGTTAAGTTATAAAAAATGCCTGTTTCAACTGACTTGCATTGATCACCTGGGGAGATGGGACTGGGAAGGACGTGTGTATGTGAATGCATGTATCTGTATCGGGTGGGCGTATTTGTGTAAATTTGGGGAAAGGCAGGCACCAACACCCATCCATTGTTGGCATTTTTGACAGATGAGACGTTTTCCTCCAGTCCTTGCTTTGGGCTTCCTAGAGAAGGTTTTCTTAGTCCACTTCTTTAAATAGAGTGCATTGCCCTGCATAATTTTGAGTTTATAGGAGAATAATCTGATCTTAGCTTTCCATGGAAGCAGCATTTACAGGGCTTATTCTAATATTTGTCTTACATGCAGTTATCTTTTTTACTTTTTTTACTTTTTCCCTTTCTTTCCAAAGCCAAGTTAGAATTTTTTTAAAAAAATGCAACCACCGAACCATTAAACCACCAAAGCAACTTTAGAACAGTTCACAGTGAAACCACACCAGCAATTTGATTCTGCTCAACATCTGTGCTATATGGCTGCACTATTAGAGGGAAATGGTTTTGTTATTTGGCAATTAGAGCTGCCCCTATATGGCCCAGGTTTATTACTGGCAAATATTTATCTACGGAATTCTATGAATTGGACCCAGATGGAATTATTAATAGAATGTAATTAAGAAACCAATCTGAGAAAATCTCTCTGTGAGTGCCATTCTTTATTATGTATATTATAAAATGACAGCTTAGTGGGCAGCGCAGCTGGCAGGAATGGCAAATACCCCAGAAGACAAGCTCAGGATCCAAAAAGATCTTGACAGACTTGAACAATGGGCCCTATCCAACAACATGAAATTTAATGTGGAGAAAAGCAAGATTTTACATTTAGGCAGGAAAAACCAAAGGTACAAGTACAGATTAGGCAAAACCTGCCTCAAAAACAGTAACTGTGAGAGAGACCTTGGAGTCCTAGTGGACGACCACTTAAATATGAGCCAGCAGTGTATGGTAGCAACCAAAAACACTAATACAATCCTTGGTTGTATAAACAGAGCCATAATATCAAAATCACGTGAAGTATTAGTAAATCTATATAAAACCTTAGTAAGACCACACCTAGAATACTGCATCCAGTTTTGGTCACTACAAAAAAAAAAATTGAGATTTTGGAAAAAGTTCAGAGAAGAGCAAGTAAGATGATTAAGGGCCTGGAGACAAAAACATATGAAGAACAGTTGCAGGAATTGGGTATGGCCAGTCTAGAGAAAAGAAGGACTAGGTGTGACATGATAGCAGTATCCCAGTATTTGAGGAGCTGCCACAAAGAAGAGGGGGTCAACTTATTTTCCAAGGCACCAGAAAGCAAGACAAGAAGCAATGAATGGTAACTAATCAAGGAGAAAAGCAACCTGGAATTAAGGAGAAATTTCCTAACAGTGAGGACATTTAACCACTGGAACAGCTTGCCTTCAGAGGTTATAGATACTTCATCACAGGAGGTTTTTAAGATGAGCCTGGATAGCTACTTGTCTGAAATGGTGTAGGGTCTCCTGTTTGAGCATGGGGTTGGACTAGAAGACCTCCAAGGTCCCTTCCAGCTCTATTCTGATTGATTGATTGGTGGATTGGTTGATTGGTTGATTGAATATGAAATCTGGACATATTTGATTTAGAACAACCTATTTTCCTCAGATGTATTAAAGTATAACTCCTGGGATTCTGTCCTCAGGCTATTTTGAAGTTCAGCTCTGTTGTTCTTAGATGCTTGACTCTTGCCCCATACCATCAGCAAGGTCAGAAGGCTGCTGAGGAGAGATGTAAGAGGACTATAGTGTTGTTCTCACTGGTAGGAGGAGAAAGCCTCATTTGATGTAGCAAAAATTGGATGATGTGATATGCAAGTGGGAAATACTGGGGGTTTTTTTGTTTTGGTTTTTTATTGTGGCAATTTATAGTGTGCTAAGTGCTTTTAAAGGTTTCAGATGTCTTGTTGTTTCCTGCCAAATGTTGGAAAGAAATCATGCTGATTTCCACCAGATTTCTAGAGGAAGAAACAACTATAGAAGTTAGCCTCAACCTGCAGTTCATGCTTCTGAATAGCAGATCAAACAGCAAATTGAAATCCAAGAAGAGTTTTCTTTTCTGAAAAATAGAAGCAGCCATGCTGGCCATGAGTGGGAAAAGAATCTATATTAAAATAATAATTTTATTAGAGCACCTGCAGGTTTTCAAACTACATGCAAGCATTTCAGATTTGAGAAACAATTTTCTCAGGCAAGATTTCTATACACACAGGCACAGACACATAGAAGCACAAAAAGAGGCAGAACCTCTTTTTCTCAAATAAATACTACATCCCTGCACTCTGTTCCAGTTATTTTTACATTCAAAAGCAATTCTCTCAGCAAATTGCACAGTAGGTCTGGCAGATTATGAACAATCCCTGGCTTTTAAAAAAAATGTGTACATGTGACCATGGCCTACTTCTATTGTTCTGCTTCTCTAATGGAATAACATTATGGGACTTGGATGATATGGATGCCCATGTCAACATGCCTAAAACTAGGAAATATGCCTTGACAGTTCCAGATTCCCTTTTGGGTTTCATTGTACTCTCTGGCTTAAACAGAATCATAGCAGTAAAATTCCTCTTCTTTCTTTGCAGGCACTTCCATCATCAAAGTTTATCTCTTCTAAATTACAGCAACAGTGGATGTTGCTTTTTTTGAAGCAGTCAATGTGATTCTTTGCCCTGATCATTGTATCTGTTGTGATTATTTTTCCTTTCACACTGTTTTTCTACATATTGCCTAGGGGATCGACCGCTCTCACTCTTGGGTCAACTCTGCCTATGCCCCTGGAGGCCCCAAGTCTGTGCTTCGCAGGAACCATCCGAACTCCAGCACGGACCTGAAGCAGGTGCCTTTCCTCTCCCTCCCATTGTGCTTGTAGCTTCTCCCTTTGGCAGGCTTATCAAAGTTAATCTGCAGTTGCAGCCTGATTCAGATGGAGAATAAAATTTTCCAAATGGCTGAAATGGGAGGCTGCTGAGCACAGCACTGGCCATCAACCACATTTTCACGGACAATGAATTGTTTTCCATTTTCCCTTTGTCGCTTTGAAAGTTTAATCAGATGCAGAATAGCATGACATACCTTCTAGAAAAAAGAACAGTGGCATGACGAAACGTACAAGGCTTTCTTGCTAGGACAGTGCATATCGTTTTTTGTTTTGGAAACATTTGAGCTGAGCACTATCAGAGAAAAAACTTATCTGTAATGGCCTTTGGAAAATCTTGAATGCTTCCGTTGATAATTTAGATTTGTGCTTGCTGTATATCTGCTTCCTAGCATCAGCTTCCTATCCTCATAGATTTATCCATGACAGTTTGTGTCTCAATAAAGCCAAAACAATCGCATTGGGTGGTGCTCAAATAAAATCTTCTTAATTGTTAATTTACATATTTAACTGTTGCCTTTGACAAATCTTTAAAACAGGGATAAACAAAATTTGGGGGAGGTGCATTGGCTCCTGCTAGCTACTTTTGCCAAGTAAGTGAGCTGTATTGTATCATCTATTTATATTCATTCCTGTTTCAAAAAGCAATATGTTAGCATGAATTAATTTTATTACGTTAAATGGCTGTTTAAACATTGAAGAAATCCTGTCCTCTTGGTTCCTATATGAGATTATATTAGGTAAGTGCTTGGTTTTTTTTTTGTTGTTGTTTTGTTTATTTGTTTTTCCTCTGCAGGTTTTCCTTTTGTAGCTGGCAGGTCTTTGTGTCCTTCAGAGCAAAGCATTTGACCAGAAGTACCTCAGAGCAAGGAGAGGAATGTCTAGAATTAATAGTTTAGTTCAGGCTTTCCGAGTTCTCCAAGATCAAGAATAGATTATGGTTTGTGCAGTTGATTCCTTTACCCTCTGCTGCATGCCTAGCCAATAAGAGGGTCCTAATTTTACCTGTACTTTTTGGTCAATCCAGAAATGTTCCATTTTCCACACTGAGTGGAGAAGTGTTTTGCTTCAACCCCCAAGATGCAGTCATAGATGGATGGCAGACATTGGTTGGCCAGTGCTCTTAACCAGTTAGGACAAGCTCGGTTTTCTGTTTTAACTTTGGTGATAACATTGTTCTCCTAGCATTTCACAGTAGCCCTGTAAATAAATGATTAATTCTTTTGAGTCTTCAATCTAAGGAAAGCAGGCATTAGTGTTATTTATAGCAAACTTCCTCAATCAGTTGTCTTCCTGAAATATTTTATTTCAATTCCCAAATTCCTATTTGGCATAGTGAAGGCTGCTGTTATGGAGTGTAGCATCCTAAATATGGTGTGGTGGAAAGTGGTATTTCTTCTCTTAAGGAAAAAGTTATTATTCTACTTGAACATACTTGCTCTGTGAGCAATGCCAGTCATGTGCTTTTACTGATTTGCATATATATTTGGAGATGTGCATGTATTTGTATGTGCATGTCTGTTCACATGCTGAACATCTGCAAGTTTGAATCAGCCTTCTGTTTCTGGAACACGATGGTTTGTTTTCTAGATTTCATTACATAGGACAGTAATTGAGGTATATAACAAGAGTTATATTTTTTTTTAGTTTTTCAATTTTTTTCTTACATTCTTCCTGAATGTCACTTAACAGATCTATAAAAAGTTGACTAGGGTTGCAGATTAGAAGTGAAGCTGTAGATATTAAAAAGAGAGATAAAAACTAATATAGCCAAATGTAAAGTAACAAAATGAAAGAAAGCTAAAAGTGCAAGAAAGAAAAAAAGAAAAGAAAAATAGAAAAGAAAAAAAGATACAAAGAATTAGCTTCTCATTTTTTCTACAACAGTTATAAGTACAATTGCAAAGTAATATCTTTATGGTTACAACACAACTCTCTTCTTTCTATAATCTATTCTGTCTAATCATCAAAACCATAAATTATGTTCATTTTTTTCTGTTTCACACAAAAAGTCTATAAGGTATTTCTAGTCAGGTATAAACATAGATATTGACTTTTTTCTGATCAAAGTAGTCAGTAGATTAGAAGTGAAATTGATGGGTGATCTTCTAAGGCTCATGGCAAGGCAGAAAGTTAAGGATAATAACTAACAGCCCAGATAAGTTGTAACGTGTTATTTAAAGCATGGAACAAAAAAGGGTTTGGGAACTGGCTTCTCTTTGGAAACCATAATGGCCAAAAGGTTGAGATCTGCTTTTGATCAAATATTGTTATATATTCAAGTCAGGATTGGGTGTGGATCTGTCTGTGTGTTTGAAAAAGAGAGAGATGAAAAAAATATTTTGAAAATATTGAACTAATATAGATTTCAGAGGCTATGATTTCTTTGCCGTTGCATGATTGCCAGTGTGCTAGTTTTCCTACTGTCTTTTCATTCTTGCTCATACTATTTACTTTTAAACAAATCATGGCTTTATCCACAAGAGTTTACAATTAAATTTTCTAAGCTGGCAAGATAATCATTCCCAGTTATTTATCTGCTTACCTTTTAATTTGGTAAAACACTTTTTTTTTTTTTTTGCTCCCTGGACAGCTTACAACTTCTACCACAACTTTGTCAATTTTAAGCATGGTTTTGACTGTTGGAACTCATTTAGATGCGAATGAACCTTGGGCTTGCCAGTTCCTCTTGTCCTCTGTCAGAGTGAAACTTTTCTCTTTTTTTTAATATTACCACTGTTTTAGGTTATTTCCAAACCCCGACAAATGGGACCAGTCAGTGGTGGTGTTATAAAACAAGCCAGCTTAAAATCATGATTTTGTTAACTTATTTAAGTCTGCAGTTAAATTAACAGGCATTTAGATTTCAGATATAATGCTAAACTAACTGTTTGGTAACAGGAACAATGCTATTGATCTTTTCTTTACAGCCATTGGAATTCTTGAAGTAAAGTGTTTATGTATTAGTTTTATATCCAAACCAAGCCTGGGCATAGCTAGTTTGTAATTACATATTTGTAATGTTGGCATAGAAACAAAGACAGACTCTTGATCTATAACCTGTCCTGTCCATCTCCCAAATTGTGCTGTTCAGTTTCGAGATACAAGCATATACAGTAAGAAAGATTGGAGCCCAGGACTTGTCTTTTTCCCAATTCCAGATAACTGAACAGACCAGAGTAAAAATAAGCAGAATTCCTACCATTATAATTCCTTTGCCCAGTCAGCCACGCTGCAGCATAGTAGGTAAACAAGCAGAGTTTCTGCATACGGGGAGGATGAGTCTGATGCCAGGACAACTCCTGGGCAAAGGCTTGTCACGAACCAAAGAGGGGATAACCAGTTTTACACTAAAAGAAAAAAAAAAGGAAAGTATTAGTTTCACCTGTTTATGTCAACTTTGGCAGTAAGATTCTTTGAGTTGTTCTCTAGAATTAGTAAGTCCCCCAATTCTTATAGCTTTCTATTTCCTGGCAAAATGTAGCTGGCTTTCAAATTCTGAGCAACTTCTCCTCAGGTAAGGAAGTCAGGCTCTTTTTCCTTAACCATCACTTTACCATTTCTTTCATTCGGGGTAACACCTCTTCACCATCACTGTTTCCTCTCTTTTTTATTTCTTGCTGCTCCTCCTCTCACAGGCTGCAGAGTGTGCACCTAATCGTATCTCCTCCTATCTTGAGAGCTCTACTTTTGTGCCGGCAGTTCCGATGAGACCAACAACCAAAAAGGTAGAGAAGGACTGTCAAGTAATCCAAAAATGTTCTCTGAAATGTTGATCCTAGGCACATTTGGGCAGGAGATGCACTGAAGGCATTTTAATCAGAAACTTTGTTGAAAACTGAAAAAGATGCTGTAACAATATGGTATAATAGGAATGAATGCATGGAATTATGGCAACATAGGCTCTGCAGAGTGGCATAGGTTTGGCTGATGCTCATCTTTCCTTCTGCCATGAATACTCCAGAACCTGCTGACTGCAAGAACCAAACCACAGTACAGTAGTAATTATGATAAGCCGATCCCTTATAATATTTCAGTTTACTAGATCCTTCTGTTTTCACTTTTCACTTCTGCCCATCTGTTCTAACTGAAGACCATATTAGCCTTTTCCACTTCCTAATTCACTTAGTGCTTTGGTTTTTCCAGACATGATATGTAACTCCCCAGACTTTCCTCTCAAGCCAATCTTCTAAATTACACTTGGAGTCCAGAGAATTTACCAGGAAAGTGTGTGTGGACTTGGCTGTTTATGGTTGATTGACTTAGGCCGCCTGAAGTAGGAGCTGCTCCCAGTTGGAGCTTGGAAAGGGAGAACCACTATCATTTGTTGGCTACTTTAGTGGGTATGCTGTGATTGAAGTTTTTTTCTCCTTTATGCCCCTGATGGATGAGCATTAATTGAAAAAGGATGACCTTTTTAATTGAAAAAGCAGAGAAGGAAGCACTTCTGGAAGCATATTTATTTCTAAATGTGCAACTGGTCTGGTGGATAGACTGTGCTATTACCTCTAGATATAGTAATTAGAGAACTCAAAAAGGCAAATTTACAGGCCAGTCATGCCAAGTAGACTCAGTAGCATTAGTATGTCCCAAATGCTTGGAATTTCAGCTCAAGTTGTTTAATGCACTTTCTCTAAACATTGGGATTTATTGTATTGTTTTAAAGCATTTGGTATCCAGCCATGAATGTAGATCAGACAGGTCATGAAGATGGATAATTTGGACAGCACCTATGTAATTTGATTGGGGGTAACAACGCACAAAAATCTGATCCATTTTCTAGCTGGTTTTCAGAAAGTTGTCTGTACTTCTTGTGGGTCTTGCAGTAGCTTCTGGAAACAGAAAGACACGGTGCCAAAATGTTATAATTTGAATTATAGCGTATTTCCAGATAAGCTTTTTATTTTGTGACTGCTCAGTCTTATTCACAGAATTTTATATAAGGAGTCAAGACACCCTCACTCAGTATAGTTCTTCCAGGTTTATGCTAGTCTCACCACTTTTCCTGTTATATATTTTCTATGGAAAATCTATTTAGGAGGGAAAAAATAACCAGTAGAGGTGCAATATGTCTTTTGCTTTGCAATATAGTACTAGGAGTCTGTCTGAAAGCATCCATGGCAGAACAGGAATAGGAATGATTCTGCAGGGCATCCTCTGAATAGTTCAATACAGCATACCATGACCTTTGTTCTCTGTAACTCTCTTTTTGCTGTCTGGGCCTGCAGCTACTTCATGAAGAACTGGCCCTCCAGTGGGTGGTGAGCACCAGTTCTGTGCGGGAGGCTGCTTTGCATCAATCCTGGTTCTTTTTCCAGCTAATGGTATGTTCAAATTGCCAGTCTTTATTCTTAGAAACATTGGCTTCTCTTCACTTTAATTTTTATTTTTTAAAAAAATAATTAATTTTTTTTTAAAAAATAAGTAACCTTCTTGCTATCAGTAAAGAAATTTCTGTTTTGTACAAATCAAACATTTCCAATTTTCTGTTTTGTCCTATGTATTTAGATATAGTAATTGTCCTACCATTTGTATTTGGGAATAGAGGATTGGCAGTCAATCATGATCACATACTTTCCAGATTTGAAATGAAGCTCTTATTCACACATTTTGTCATGTTAACTGTTTCTAACTATCCAGTAAGGAGGATGAAAGAACCCATCAGTAAGGAAAATGACAAAACTAGTCAGGATAGTGATTAAATAAAAGTCCTTATTGGAAATACAATTCTTAGTTTACTAAAGCACAGGCTAAGTACACTACTCTAGGAGGAACCACTCTGCCTAAATTGGCTGAGGCTGAGATTGGAATTCACTGGCTGGATAATTTGGGCTGATGCATACACACTCTGGCTCTCCATTGACAGGGGTTTGTGCTTCTTGCAGGTGAAGAGTATGGTGCACCATCTGTTCTTGTGTGACAAGCTAGAGGCCCCGCGCAAGACACGCTTCCCTGGCCGTTTCATTGATGATATCTCAGCCCTGGTATACACTGTCAGTGGGGAAATTGCTAGCCGTTGTCAAAAGGTTTGTGAAACACTCTTAGGAAAAGTTCAATCTTACAGAGCTTCTATAATGTTAAAAAGAAATGGGGCAGGGCTTAATTTTATCTTAATTCCACAAAGTTGGGGCTATAACTTAAAATAGTTTCTCCTGGCCTCTGTTCTCTTCACTTCATGGAATATGGAGTATGACCAGGAGCTTCTTTAAAAATGCGCTGGGCAAGCTGATTCAGATAGAAGGAGGTCCTGCAGATACTTAGTTGCTCAGCTATGGAATTCATAGGTCAAAACAACACTTTGAATTATACCCAAAAATCTATTGGCAACCAGTATAGGGTCTGAAAGACAAGTGTAATGTGCTTTTCATGAATAATACCCATCAGTAGGCAGTTGTTCCATTTCGTATTAATTGTGGTTTTCAAAAACAGCCCAATTAAAGCTCATTAGAATAGTCTAAAAATGTAATTATGAGACTATATATCATTGTCACAATAACCTTATGATATAGACAAGGCTTGTTCTGATACAGTAGAGAAACCTGGCCAAAGACTGCCCGGCAGCAGCTTGTAATTACACAGACCTGTTCTCTCAGGGGCAGTGCCACTCCCATTAAGAGACAACACTGGAGCTGAGTGACAATACTGAAGTAACTTTGTCTTGCTTGGTTTCAATTTCAACTTGTTTTGTCTAATCCATACCCTTACAGGTTCCAGTCAGCAGGACAAGACAGTCTTTCTGGTATGGGCTAGGTGGTAGTGTGCAGCTGGGTATTGTCACCATAATCTTGATGTTGCAGTGGATGGGTCCCAGGAGTTTATGTAAATGTTAAACATGAGTGGACCCTCCTGTAGCACTCCATAAATGAAGGACCACCAAGCCAATGCCTTCTCTCTAACCATCACTAACTGCATTTACCTACTAAGGAAAGAGCAAAACAGTGTTTTGCATTCCCAACCCTTGCCGGGCTCAGGCGTATAGCATGGTTGATGCTTTGAAAGCTGCTGAGAAGATAATAGGACCAGAAGGGATATAATAGCCCCTGCTGGTCCCAGGGAAGATAATCCACTGGAACAACTGACACTGTTTCCATCCCAGTCATACTCAAGCTTGAATCCTGACTGAAAACAGTCTAGATAATCTGCTCCCTCAGAGCATCCTGAAGTTCAGTTTCTACTATCCTCTCAACAACTTTTCCTAAAAAGGGAAGATTGAAGAATGGATCATATATGCCAAACTTTACAAATTCTAAGCTTGGTCAGCTCTTTGTTTAACTTTACCAATGAAGTAAATATAACACATGTTGGTATAATAAGATCCATGTTTTATTGTATAGGCCTGGCTGTATTTGCATTTTGCCTGCTGTGCTCGGACCTCCACATCAGGTGTGGAGAGTATGAAAAACCTTCTTTAATTTCCGCACTCTGCTGCTGCACTCTGTGTACCAAAGGCATTTTAAGTAGGACCAATTCATAAATAGTTCTGCTGTTTCCATAGGATGTGGAACTGGTGGAGCATCTCAACAGTAGCCTGGCCTTTTTTCTCAATGATCTGCTGTCGTTCATGAATCGTGGCTTTGTCTTTGATCTTCTGCGTTCTTATTATAAGCAGGTAATAAGAGTGTGTCTTTTTCCCAGAGTTATCAGTTTCCTGTTGGGAAGAGGACACATTATTAGACTCAGAGTGCCAGGATGACTATGGGAAATCATTTTGCATTGCAGGGCTTAACTGTTTGAATGGTCTCTGTAAAGCTTAGAAAGTAGCCGTGATTGTAATTCATATTAGTTCCCTTGAGAGAACATGTATTTCTACAAAAGATCTGAATTCTTTCTTCCAGATTCTTAAAACCTATACATGATGATGTGTACTAATGTAACTCTTTCTTCATTAGTCATTTCAGAGAAGGGTGAGAAAAAATAATAAACACAGATTCATGAATATGGTTAATTATGTACCTTCAAATAGATGTGAACAGTAAGTTACCACATAAATAGATTTTCTCCATGATGGTCTCTCACTAATCAGTCTTCCAGTGGTGTTCCATCACCACTGTAACTGAGTCATCTACTTAATCATTCTATTTTTTCCTTCCAGCATCACAGCTTTCTCCAAAGAGCCAGATCTTCACATCATCACGGTCTTGCTAATCAAGATAAAAATGCATACATTTAATTGGGCACATTTCACATGGCTGCAATTCCAGCATTGTGGCTCTTGGGACAAAAAATAGATTTGTTTATTTACAGTTTATTTTTATTTATTTATGAAATATATCTGACTAGAAACCAGCTGGAATCTAAGTGGTTTATGGAGTTTAAATATTTAAAACAGAGTGCAGATTAGAAAAATAAAAAAGTGGCTAAAGTTAAAAATGACCAGACTGTGAAAGTAGCACCAGTATATAACACCAGAAGCCCTCCAAAAGAATTGTTTTTCAATTGTTTCCAGAAGGACATGAGGGTGGGGCCATGATGCTTCATGGGGCAGGCAATTAATGAGGAGAAGAACTACTACAGAGAAGGCTGGCCCTTATTAGGCTCCTTCCACCAGATCTCCTGGTAGGAGGGAACCTTCCATAGGCACTCCCTATTTGTCTAGGTTGGACAGGCAGAAACTGGTGGGGAAAGACAGACCCTAAAATATCTACCCCCGAGCCATATAGGGCTGAATATCCTGAATTTTTGTCTGGAAGTTGAATCATGGCAACTGGACCTCTTTTCCTTTTTGGTTTGAAACATTTCACTGCTTATCCAAGTAACTTCTTCCATTTGATATTTGGATAAGCAGCTAAATGTTTCAAACCAAATAGGGAAAGAAGTCTGGTTGCCATGACTCAACTTCCAGACAACTCTACCTGGATGACTGAGAATCTTAATCAACATCCTAAATTCGTAAAACAAGAAATCAGGAGTAACTGCTTTGCTTAAATTCCCTTGTATATCATTCTGTTCTGTTTTCAAATATATCTTTTGGTTCTGTTTGGTTTCCCAGGGCATGATGTCAGCCTTCCTGAGTATTCCAAACAGGAAACATGACTAGATGAACTAAGCCTACTTTATTGCAAAGCTACATTAACAAAATCTTGCAAGTGTGAAAGTACAAATCTTCCACTATCACTGTCAACTGTCTGATCTATTAGGGTGAATCCTTCCTAACTTTCTTCCTCTGACCATTAAGTTCCTTCTCTTTTCTAGTAATATAGTAAAGTAAAGTTGGAAGGGACCTTGGAGATCATCTAGTCCAACCCCCTGCTCAGGCAGGAAACCCTATACCATTTCAGACAAATGGCTGTCCAGTCTCTTCTTAAAAACTTCCAGTGTTGGAGCATTCACCGCTTCTGGAGGCAGGTTCCACTGGTTGTTCTGATTGTTTCTTAGGCAGAAAGATTACATAAGATTAAATTAGGTGCCTCCTGACCCTAATTCTTTTCCCTCTCCCCATTCCATACATGCATAAAGATGTAATAGGGCTTCCGGGAGACACTTATGTAGAAAAATGGAATTGGCTTCTCAAATAGCAATAGCAAGGAAGCTTAGAATAGAACATCAATAGTTCAACAGTTTTACTATGAATGGCTGCTTTTATTCAGTCATTCTGTTGCTTATTCATGCATTCATGATTTGGTACAAAATTTTGGTACCAAAATTTCTTCTCAGTAACTCAGCTTTTTTGAGTTTTTCTAAGTTCATGCTTGTGATACTTATATGCTGTCCAACCATCTTCTTCTGATCTCTTTTCCCATTACTTTTGATTTTTCTAAGGCTAGCGGCTGATGCTAATAGGAGATCTTTGTGGTAGAAGAGAAATCCTCTCACTACATCAGCAAGTTATCTTTAGGAATCTAGTATTAAGTCCAGCTGTGTCTATACTTTATTTTGCTGTGCACTTGTTTACTTTGTTCAACTGTCCTAACTTCAATATATTTTTTAAAAAATATTGGCTGTGAAGTGGTATAATTTCTACATAGAATATTTTGGATCTCATTCTGTGTTCCTTCTCATTCCCCAAAGCTAGTTCAGCCTCATTGTTACTTCTTGCAGAAAGGTTTGCTTGCTGTCTTTTATGGATGCACAAGGAGATAGAGGGACCTGTCCATGATATATTTTTGAGTTTCTAATTTAAACTCTGAGTACTGTATGGATTGCTGGGATAATGTTTTTCTGAGGCTAGAAGATGGATCTGCATTGCTACACTAAGGCTAGCATAATTCAAGGGTTTTTTTTCTACTTCTCCAGATCAATAACTGGCTGTTGACCACACAGAACCCTAATGCCCTCATTGCTCTCAGAATGGACTTGATCCGTATCGTATGCAGCCATGAACATTATGTCACTCTAAATCTTCCCTGCAGTGGCCTTTCCCCTCCTGCTTCCCCTTCTCCCTCCATCTCATCAGCAACCTCCCAGGTAGGTAGAACAGCATGAAGGAAGAGGATGAGAGACAAGAGCTTCTTGTTGAAAATCAGGTTCTCCCCTTCAGTATTCTCATCAGAAGTCCTATTGAGAAGTTGCCACCCTGATTGATTGTGGAGGTTCCAGTTAGCTGCCAGGTTTTGGATGGATCTGTGAATTTTTCCCTGTTTAATACTGAGGTAAGGGAAAAAGACTGGTGGCCGTGAAAAATTTGCCAGAAAAATAGGGCTTCGGGAAAAATATAAAAAATGGGATATGTTGCTTTTTCAATGCCTGCATCTTTTAGAAGAAAAGTAAGATATCAAAATAATGATGTATAAAAAAGGCAAGTAAGGAGCAGGCTAAGTACAAGAATTAGCGGAATTGCCATGGATAAGACAACAGTAACCGGAGGTTGTAGCAGAATATTCTTTTCTGGGAAGAGAGTGTTATTTTCATATGATGGAAAAGAAGCATTTTCCACTACTGGGGAATGTATACTACTGAGTTATCTGTTCTTTTTTATTGACACTGCTGCAGCCTTTCACCTCCTCTCTCTGTTTTCCTCTACCGCCCACTCAATATTGCAAATGATCCCTAAAAGGGAGATGGGGAGCCCATGAGTGATTCAGAGTGAAATGATGGATAATAGCTGCTGGGGTTGTGGGGTGGGGGGGGGAGGGACAGGCTTGGATTGCCACCCTTTGCTTTGCATTCATGAGAGCAGAAATTACGCAAGGCGCAGCTTTGCCTGGTTTTTCATGGGCCACCTCCTCTTTGCAGAGTTCAGCGTTCTCTAGCCACACACAGGACCAGCAAGTGGTCAGCATGTTTGAGCTCTCTGTAGCTTTTCGCCAACAGCACTTCCTGGCAGGCTTGGTGTTGATGGAGTTGGCACTCATCCTGGAGCCTGATGCAGAGGGGTAGGTATGATCTATTGGGGAAAACAGAAGCACTATGGCTGCATCCGCCTTCCTCCGTCTCCTGACCACAATAGCCAAAAATGGGAGATACTATCTTCCACTCCTTCAAACTAGAAATTAGTGTAAAACAATGTGTCTCAACTTTGTTAACTTTAAGATGTGTGGACTACAATTCTCAGCATGCTGATTAGGAAATTCTGTGTTGAAAATTCATGCATCTTAAAACTGCCAAGGTTGAGAAACTCCCTCCTCTGAAACTCTGAAGAGAAATAACAGAAAATCCTGATGCCCTGCCCACCTGGGACCTTCATTTTACCCTCCCTCTTAAGTGTAACCAAGGGCCACTAAAAAACTGTCCATCTTTGGTCAAGGAGAGAAGTTGCAGTGAAATATGTGTTTTTAATCTCTTTTCCTGAAAATGTCAAAGTCCCGTCTGAGGCAGTGCATCACTGAACAAAGCAAATCACAGAAAAGAGACAACATTGAAATAGAAAACAAGCTTTTGTCGTGTGTGACCCTAGTCATGCAGGGGTTTCTTTGGCAACCATACGGAAGTGGTTTTCCACTGTCTTTTTCCAGGTTGATTTTGATTTCCGAACCTGGCTGGAGCCTGGTCTTCCTTGATAGTTTTCTATTCACAGGTGAACCAGGCTGGACTCTGTCTAGCTTCCTAGTTCAGAAAGAGTCAGCCTGGTGCTGCCACCTGCAGGTCTGTGAATATTTTTTTTAATTACTTCCTTATGGCAATTGGCCTTCTAGAATGAGGGAAGGATTTGGAGGCTTCTTTATTACCTGTGGACAATGGCCATCATTTTTCTCTATCCATGGAGGAGTGAATGAAATAGCAGTATTTCATGTTTCTATTCTAAAAATCTTTCCGTCCCTCCATCAGGGCATTCTTCCTGCACAAGAAAGCCATTTGTACTCTACACAACCTGCTGTGCAATCATGACTCTGATATCCGCTACAGGGACCCTACTATGCGAGCACAAGTCGCTCAGCTCTATTTGCCTCTGATTGGCATCATCATGGATGCTCTACCGCAGCTCTATGACTTTACAGGTAAGGCCAGGAGTGGGTGGTGGTGGTGGAGAGTAACACATGAAACTGCCAGTGTGTGCAGACACTGCCAAAGGAGACCACTTTTCTAGCCCACTGTTGCCAGTGGCAATTCTATGGCGCGATGAGCCTTGTGACCACTGCTGCAAGCGGCAGCAGCGGCATGATCGGCGCAATGAGCTGTGCTGCTTTCTGCCACAAGTGGCGTGATTGGCGTGATGAGCCTTGCGGCCCCCTGCCATCATTGACGGCAGCGGTGCGATCATTGTGATGCGCCACGCAGCCTTATGCCACAAGCAGTGGCAGTCTCGCAATCAACATGATGCTCAGCGCGGCCTTATGCTGCAATCGGCAACGCGATCGGTGTGATGAGCCTTGCAGTCTCCTGCCGTGAGTGGTGGCAGCGGCACGATTGGCGCAATGAGCCACACGGCCTCATGCTGCGAGCAGCAGCTGCAAGTGGCAGCAATGTGGGATGCAGTGTGGGAAGTTGGGGCGTGGGAGGCCTGGCTGCGGTGGTCCTAAGGCAAGCAGGGAAGACTTCCTCCAAAAATAAGACCTGGTCCCTCTTTTGGAGGCAAAAAAATTATAAGATCGGGTCTTATTTTCAGGGAAACACAGTAGCTTTGCTTTCTACACCTGATCAAATTGTTTAAAGCTGCTACTTTTATTAAACACAGCCATTATATTTCAAAGCTTAAAATCAGGAGACTTTCTTTATATTTTATTCTGCTTCTAATCTCTTTGACAGTTATAGCTTTTCTTATCAATTTTTCTATTTCTGTTGTTTGTTCTGATTCTTCAGTTAAACCATTGGTGATGGGTACAAATTGATTACCGATATTTATGTCACTTGATTCCAGCATAAGATGATAAATGTCAGCATTAATAATATATTTTATAATTGTTCTGTATTGTTCATTTTCTGTATCAAAGGATCTTTTTGATAACACGGAGAACAATGTGTAAAATTAAAATCAAAGCTGTTAATAGATTATTATTTGCTGGACTTAAAAATAAGGATATGATTATTTCACATAAATGGCTACATCCATTTTCCTTTCTTACTTCTCTTTTTTTCTTAATTAATGCATATATTTGTAATTTCTGCTATCATTAAATCATGTTTTGTCACTGATGGTAACAGAAACCTCTGTTGGTGGCACAAAACAACTATAAAATCTATTAAGCTAATAAAACAAATTGGCTTTTTTAAAAGCAGCGATCAAGTTTTGATTATAAAACCTATTAAAGTTTGAGTTACATCAGAACACAATTGAACTGGAGATTAATGCAGTTTTTTGTGAAGAAAAGCAGAATTAAGCAGAATTAAAGCCAGTATTATTGAAGGAATGACCATTGAGAGATGGAATGAGAGGCTAGTGAAATAACAAACAAGAATATTACAAAGGAAGGAAGATTGGGAAAGGAAGCCAAAGAATATTAGAGCTTTAAAGCAGGGCTTTTCAACCGGTGGTACACGTACCCCCAGTGGTACATTGGCACCTGGCAGGTGATACGTGACCATCCTAGAGTAGTGGTAGCAGGGGAGGGGAATGAGTTGAACTGGCGGTAGCACCGCACAAGCCTGAGTGAGAGATGGCTGGAGCTGCAGGGCTGTTAGGGCTCAGCGGAAGCGCCAGGATCAGCACTGCTTTCCAGCTGGTGCTTCTTCAGGGCTGTCAGGGCTCAGCAGAAGTGCCAGGATCAGCCCACTTTCCAGCTGATCAGTGCTTCAGGGCTCAGCTGTCAGGGCTCAGCAGAAGCACCCGGATCAGCGCCGGGCTCCAGAAGAAGCGCCAATCAGCTAGAGCCCTGCCCCTACTCTGCAGAGGGCAGATCCCTATCATCTCTATCGCTCAAACACTAGTCAACTCTATTTTACAGAGAACCACATCCAGAGAGGGCGACTAGCTTCTATGATGGTTGAGGATGGAGATGGAGATGGTAGCACCATTAGCCAGTCAGTTGCCATGGCCATTGCAGGTTCTCCTTTGCCTTATTCTCATCGGTCTACGGTCTTCCAAATGCCAACAGTGGTAAGTGTCCATTGATTGGAAATGGGAACATACAGTAGAACAGAATCTAGGTTTAAAAGGGTGGAGAATTCCTACACATCACACTCTGGGTTTGAAGCTTCACAATTTCCAGCTTTGAGGAAATGCTCTCTCAGAGATGAGACCATGTATACCTTGGATCTGTACCTCTCCCAGGGCCTTGATTCCAGCCATATAAGGACTCTCAGGAGAAAATCCAGCAGATGGATAGGAACATGCCCTCTTAGTAGCCCTCTCACAATCATGTGCCCATGCTGAATATTGTGGGACATCCCAAAATAAAAGGCTGTCAAATGGCAAGCTGTGGAGTGGCCACTTAGAATACATCTACTGTGCATATTACCTTCGATTAAAACAGTATGTTGAGCAAACTTGAACCAAGCTTGATAAAAGCATTATAAGCCCCCCACCCCCAAAGGCAGTACAGGTCATTTATTCTGGATGGCATCTAAAAACTGTAGAAGAAATACAAAGCTGCCACGTAGCATGTTAGTTCAAGCAAATTAGTCTATTCTTTTTGGTTGTGACTGGCAGTGTGCTTCAGGTTCCAGCCAGTTTTCTGTTCTAACTGGAGATACCAGGAATTGAATTGGAGCCATCTTCACGTAAAGCACCTGCTTGACCACCAAGCTATAACCCTTGCCTGCAGATACAACTCTTTCCCCCCTCCTTTGGATGATAACACTTCTTCCAATTAGAGTAGACTAACTCAAAGAACTCTTATCATGCCCAGTGTAAAACCTATTTAAAGTTTGTTTATGAACTGTTCTGCATGACTGTTGTTTGTCTGCAGCCTGCCCGCCAGTACAGCATGTTGTCTGCTGAGGCAAGTCGCAATCTGCTGGTGTGTCTTCTCTGGGTACTGAAGAATGCTGATGATGCTGTGCTACATCATTGGCTGGTTGACCTCTCTGCTTTCCATGTGAACCATTTACTTGACTTACTCTACCTCTGTGTCTCCTGCTTTGAATACAAGGTTAGAAGAATCTGAAATTATGATATTTTGATTCTCTTCCTCTCTTTTAAAGATTGAGATGAAAACAAGAATTCTGTCTTTGGCTCAAATACTATTTTCTTAGAAGTTGGTATGAAAGCCAAAAATATAATTCACATGCATTTTTGTCACAAGCTCCTAACCTGAGTATAAGAAATCTTTGTCTAAACGCAACATGGTGCTTAGGAAAAGCTGAAAAGTATAATAATGTATTGAATTTTTAAGCAAAACATTACTATAATTTAACCTGTGAAGTAGTTGAATGAATATCAAAATAATTAATTCACCTAAATCAGATAGCAGGATAGCAAAACTGAATTAAAAAAGATAATTATTCTTGTGCTATGCTTTAGTAAAGTCTCAACAGAACAGGTTGTTTAGGAACAGGAAAAACTAATGCTGTATTTTCCCAAAGTCAGGACATTTCGTTTTAGAGTCTTCTGTGTGGAAACTGGATGGGAAGATAAATGCAGGAAAAAATAGACCCAGTGACTTAAAAATACTATAATTTAGCCCTCATCTTATTAGCATAACCATAAAAAATAGAGAGATCTCTTGATTTTTTTTAAAAAAATGGATTGTTAATGGCAGTGAGTAGAAATGGGAGGGGAATGTGGAGTTATTGATGGAATTTTGAAATGAGCTTAGTGAAGCTGAGATGTGACAACTTTCTAGAATTTCTTTGGTGGAGTCAACAAATCATGACGCTCACTGCTGAACTCCTTCTGAATAAGCCTTTGATTACTTTGTTCTATGGGAAGCTGTTTTTCCTATTTCTGAAGAACTGTGGGCAATTGATTGGCAGATCTTGTTCTTGCAGTCAAGTATCTCCTTTTTTAATGAGGACTGATGCAATCCCATAGGGCAAAAAGGCCTTTGAACGCATCAATAGCCTGACCTTCAAAAAATCTCTGGACATGAAGGCGCGACTGGAGGAAGCCATCTTAGGCACTATTGGGGCACGTCAAGAAATGGTTCGACGCAGCCGAGGTGAGACTAGCCAAAGAGCATGGAACAATAGAAGACACCAGCAAAAGTTTGCTTCCCCAGTTCCCTCTCCCCACAAGCTGGACCACCATTTCTAGGCCATATTTACTGCAAATTTAGTCAGTGGTAGTAAAATTTTTGATGAAAATAAACATACTGGATTTGATTTTCTTTAGTTTTCAGATCGGTTCAAATGGAAAGAATTAAGAAAGAAGCTTCTATTTGTTGTACTGCTATGGAAATGGATGCATAATTAAAAACATCTTGATTTTTCAGTATTGCACCATGATAAAATCCAATTTGTAGTAAGGAAGTTCTGTTTGAAGTAAAATCAAGAACCCATATGGGTCTCCCATCCTGTTGCAGAGAGGAAGAAGCTGGTCATTTAAGCAGTTTCCCCTCAAAACACATTTTGTATTTATGCAGTGGTGAAAGCCAGACCCTTTCCCCCTTTTCTCAGCAGAGCGCAGTCCTTTTGGAAACCAAGAAAATGTTCGCTGGAGGAAGAATATTGCTCACTGGAGACAGAATTCGGACAAGGTGGACAAGTGCGTTTGTGGGCAATTCTGGCATATCTGCACATTGATTGGAAATATGCGGAAGAGGCCTTCAGCCTGCAGTGGATAGACAATGGCTAGAATGTTGTTGTTGATGATAATGATGATCAGCACATTATGCTCCTGAGCAGTCAGTGTGATACACATTGAGTGGCCACATGTACTTTGGAAAAGCTGGGGTTTTTTTTCTCCTTTTCATTTATTAATTACATGTACACATTTCTTCCAAAAAGAAGAAAAAAAGTGAGTTGATGATTGCATTTTAGTTTTCAGAGCCACTTCATTGGGCTTTTCTTATTCTAGCAGCTGTATAAGTGAAAGCCTCTGGAAGTAACACACAAAAAAATTAAATAATGCACTTCTCAAGTCAGTTCAGAAATTGGGAGATAGGGATCCTAGTCTTAGCTTCAGCTCTTTCTGTGAGTCTCAGAGATTTCCTTCAAACCCAAATGGCAGTAATGCAGCTTTTACTTTTTGAACTCTTCCCTTGTACTCCAAATTTTACCTTTCCCAAAATGAATTAATTCATAGTACAATAATACTATAAATTGGTTCAATAGTACAATAGTAACCTTTCACTGCACCTAAATGTGTAAATCATAAGAAAAGCTGTACTGGACCAGGCCATGGGCCTATTGAGTCCAGCATTCTGTATCATAAGCTACCTGATATCATTCTGTATTATCCAGCATTCCATATACTACCATCAGATAGATGCATTTGGGAAGTTTCCAGCCAAGACTGGAAAACTATGGTCCTATTTTACAGTCACACGTACAAGTCATGTCCCAGCAAACAGTATTCAAGTGGTTGTTTTTTTTATTTCTGCTTCTCTGTCCATAGCCTTCCATTAACTCAACAGCCTAATTTTATTGCCATTTGGTCATTTTTCTTGGGGAAGGATAAGCCAACAGTTTTGGGGCAGCCAGTTACTTTCACGGACATGTCTTGTGGGAGACTCCCTTTTAGGAAAAGTCATTCTGCCCTTTGGCTCTGAAGGCAAATGGGGTGGCTCAGTGATCAGAAAACAACTAAATAACTTTGCAAACTTGGGACATTTTGCATGACTAGATATTAATCTAATGTTCACTTTTTTATCACTTGCATAGATCAAAGGAAGAGATAGAACATGAAGCTTTGGTAGATGGAAACCTGGCTACAGAGGCCAACATGGTGGTCCTGGATACCCTGGAAATTATTGTGCAAGTAAGATCTAGCCTTGCTATTACTCATTACGATAAAGCTTTTAGTTTCAGTAAATCTGTCTTGTCCTCTAAATGTGAGGGTTTCCACTATCTCTGTTGTGGAGCATTCAGAACTGGTCTTAAAGAGAAAGGATTCTGCTTCCCAAAATGTATCTGATGAGTTTAGCTCATGAAAATGGGATAGGAGGTGAGAGAGAGTCAGGCAGAGTTTTCCAAAAGATGTGGATAACTCAATCTAGAATTGAGGGGGTAAGTGAAAAGATAAGAGGGGGATGCGGTTTGGGGGGAAATGGGTGAGCAATGCTGGAATTCATGTGTTGTATTTTAACTTGTTATGTATCTGAATTTTTTTTTCTTATGATTGTAATGAAAATAAAATAATAAAATTAAAAAAAAAGATGTGGATAACATAAACCAAAACACACTACATTTATTACAATTCCTGTGTCTATAATAACTTGGTTATTCCTAGTCATGATGTTTCTCAGAACCACATTGTTGAGCAAAATCAAATTAATATGCTGGGTAAGGCCTGAAAATAAAGGATGAATGGGTGACATGTAGAAACCAAGTTGGGCCATAGACCTTAAGAAGCAAAACGTATCTATGACTTATAGGAGCTTCTCTAGGTTTTACTAGTGACAGTAACTGATGTACTAGTACTTACTTAAGACAGCAATCTGTCTTAAATGAAAAACCAGATCAGTAGTACTAAATAAGTTCTTCCAAGCCCTTATATTACTAGCCATACTGAAGTCTCTGTTAGTGTCTTTGCCTGCAAGCCAAGTTCGTACCTTGATGTAAAAATACTTGACATAAACACTATAAAGGGATCCCACAATTTAGAAGGGATTTAATTGGTCTGCATTGCATTTCAAGGAAATTCTGTATCAAAGGAAATATACTGCAGCTCAAACATTGTGCCAAATAGTTTTATTTATCATCTACTTCACATAAGGAATCTGCTGACAATAAGGTAGGAAATAGCTTTCTTTTAAATTTAAGAAATATTATATTTCTTGTGATAAAATGTTTCCTTGGAACACATTGGGAATCTCATTTACTTGTGCAGCTGTCCTTTTTCTTCTTTGTTCTACTCCTACATTGTAATAAGTATGCATAATAGCATGAAATCCTCCTTCTTTGCTTCTATATAACTTTCTTCATTCTGCAGTGCTATCTAATGAATTCATTTTTTTTTCTTCCTTCCCCTCCCCTGCAGACAGTGTCTGAAACCAAGGAGAGTGTCCTGGGTGGGGTGCTGAGGGTGCTTCTTCACAGCATGGGCTGTACACCTAGTGCTGCCTTCTTGCAACACTGCTTTGCCACCCAGAGAGCACTAGTGAGCAAGGTGAGTCTGCTTGGTAAGGAAAGTCTTGCCGAATGCAGTTAGAATAGAATAATAGCTTCACTGTCACTTTAAATGTACACTAATCAGCATATATTAAAATGAGATTTCGTTGCATACAGTTCTCAAAGGGTAACCACCTCCAATATACACTTCATAAACATGACAAATAAATAAATAAAATAAAATATGCATATACCCACATACACACAGTTATATGGCCCAGAGAAACAACACAGTCTAGTTTGGATGTATATGGCGAGAAAAATGAGTCTTGTGAGCTTACCAGATGAATGGGCATAGGGAATAAAGCTGTTACAGAATCTGGTAGTCCTGCTAGAAATACTTTGAAACCTCCTCCCAGAGGGGAGCAACAGAAACAGACCATGAAGTGGGTGTGTGGGGTCTCTTACAATGCTTTGAGTTCTAAGCACATAGCACTTATAAGCAGTGTCCTGAATAATGGGAAGCGGGCTTCCTATAATCTCAGCTGTCCTTACCACTCTCTGTATGGACCTTCTATCTGAGGCACTGCTACCACCAAACCAAACAGTGATGCAGTTTGTTAAGACACTCTCAATCGTGCTTCTATAAAAAGTAGCCAGGACAGAAGGACAAAGATGTCCTTTCTTCCAGTCAATCTGCAACTTTTGCACGGATCATGATCTGCTAGGGGACATCTTGCTTGCTTTCTGCCCATCCTTTACAACAAACAGAGTGGATATACTCTAGCCCCCTTGATTAAACAATGACATTGTCTTTTCTCTTTTAGCACCTGCTCTTTAGAATAGTATCCTTCTAGAATAACATTTCCCACCTTAGCCATTTTAAGATGTATGGGCTTCAGGTCTTCAATTCTGGGAGTTGAAGTTCACACATCTCAAAATAGCTAAGATTGGGAAACTCTGCTCTAGAGATTTGTATAACTTCTACCCTGATTTATGTTCAAAAAGTCCCTGAAAACCTGTTTGTTGCCTCACGCCTTGAATCCTTATAGGATTTCATTTATTTAAAGGATTACCTTTTCAGATATGTTAGTTGGAGTTTCTTATTATTTTATTATTTTTATTATGTTTTAATGCTGTATGTTGCTCAGAGTCTTATTGAATTCGTGGTCTTCCACATCTGTTAAATAACTAATTAGAAAAATAATTTTTGTCATTGTCAAATCAGATAACTTGAATCCCATTCTTACAGTTCCCTGAAATGCTTTTTGAGGAAGACACTGAATTGTGTGCTGATCTGTGCCTGCGTCTCCTACGCCACTGTAGTAGCAGAGAAGCCATCATTCGTACCCATGCAAGCACCTCACTTTACCTTCTCATGAGACAGAACTTTGAGATTGGCAATGTAAGTGCTATTGGAAAAAGGAGTGTGTGTGGGAGCATTAAGGGGTAGGTCAGTTCCCCCATGGAAGAGAGAAATATATATATAAAAGCAATAAAATATGGTAACCCAAAGCCTTATAGAAACTGAAAATGTGACCTTTTCAAATGCAATGAGCAATCATCATTTCCATTGTGCTTGTTTGCAAAGTGCTTAGCACTTTTGGGCATTTGCCCTAGAGGTTTTTTGCCTTGTGTTGGTCAGCTGAAGGAGCTAATATGATGAAGAAAACAGGGATTTTCTTTTCTATGTATGTCTGAAATTTTGTTAACACTAAAGAGCACCCTTTCTAGCACCCTTTTTGAAACTTTCTTGTAAAGAACTTTGCCCGAGTGAAGATGCAGGTCACCATGTCCCTCTCCTCACTTGTGGGAACATCTCAGAACTTCAATGAGGAGCACTTGAGGCGCTCACTGAAAACCATCCTTACCTATGCTGAAGAAGACCCAGAATTGCGAGAGACAACTTTTGCTGAGCAGGTATTTCATGCAGTCCCGTAAATTGTCAGCAAAAGATTTGGGGCAAGACTTGGTCCTTACCCAGCTAGAAATGTTAGCTTTTTCTTTAAGACTCAAAGAACTTGAACATTGCATTTTCCTCCTTCCTCCCTCCCTCCCTCCCTCCCTCCCTCCCTCCCTCTCTCTCTCTCTCTCTCTCTCTTTCTTTCTTTCTTTCTTTCTTTCTTTCTTTCTTTCTTTCTTTCTTTCTTTCTTTCTTTCTTTCTTTCTTTCTTTCTTATTTTTTATAAATATTTCAAGGCAGCAGATATAACCAATGCCCCTTTCTCCTCCTATTTTCCCCACAGCAACAATCCTGTGGGGTGAGTTGGGCTGTGAGAGAGTGAGTGGCCCAAAGTCACCCTGCTGACATTCATGGGGCCTGCTGCTGCCACCGTTGCCCCATTGCTCACTGTGGCTGGAGTTGGCTAATCAGCAGGGTGTGCCCCTGAGCCAGGGCTTCTCATGCTTTGAGGTTGCCAAAAGCCCCCCTCAAGAACTTTATGGCTTGCTCCAGCATCCAGTCCTCTCAGTCCAGTTTGCTTGCTATCGGTTCTTCCTCCAGCTCCTCCAGCTTTACATAGACATTTGTAACTAAATAAATTGTCAGACGTACCCCAATCTGATCCCTTAGGAAAGAAAGACTTGAGCCCATTTGATTGAAGCGAAAGGTTCTTTTACTAAGAAGATGATGGCTGCAGTAAAGTCAGGCAAGCTCTGGGTTTCCCGTGCTCAAAAGATACAGAAAGGTTTTCTCTCATCCCAGCCCTTCCTCCTGTAACCAGTCCATCTTCAGCCAGTCGGAACTTGCCAAAGTGTTTTGAGTATGCTGAGAGGTTTTGGGGTAATCCACGTTCTTTCTCGGGATGCCTGGCCTTAGATGCTGGTACAAACTGGTTGCAAGTTTCTCCTGTCATTCCCCCCTCCCTATTTCCCATTTATTGCTATCTATCCTTCTCTCCTTCCCACTTCTAGTCTTTCATGGCAGGATGCCTGTGAGGCACCAAGCCAAGCCTGGCAGACCTGACAGTAGCTTTAAGTGAAGGAAGCCCAAAGACAGTACTTGGGAAAAATTATGTGAAGGAAAGATAGCCACTGAAATGTTGGTTTTAATGAGGAAATAGAGAACGAGACTGTGAGTGAAGAGGAAGGCAGTATTTAGTGGGCACATCTAATATAGATAAAATACAGATAGGAAAGGTGATCTGGGGAGAAATTGAAGGAAGGAATAGGTACCTGAACAAAATCCTCACAATTACAGCATTTTATAAAAATTGTTCATATAAATAAAAGGATTTCTTCAAGACTACGTAATGACCAATTTTTTTTTGATTGGTGTACAGAGTAGTAATATGCTTGCCAAAACGAAGGGCTTGACTTAAAAATCATTTAGTACTATTACAATGGAGATAAGTGTTTCTGTTTATTCCAGACATGAAATAAAAACATTTTGCATGATAACAGTAAGATTTCCGTGACTAAATAAATTTAAAAAAAAAAATAGTTACCTTGCAGGCATCTTCAAGCTAGTATCTACCATGTTTACATGGATTTTTACAAATAGTTTTTCATTATCACTCACATAGAAATTGCTTTCTCCTTTTCCTGTTCAGGTACAAGATCTCGTCTTTAACCTGCACATGATCCTGACAGATACAGTAAAGATGAAAGAGCATCAGGAGGATCCAGAGATGCTTATAGACCTTATGTATAGGTAAGGTCCCTGTCAGTGCCTCAGTAGTGGAAGCAATAGGAATACTCCAGAATAGTTTACTTTCACAGCCTTAATTCTTTGCTGGATATTTCCCAGAGAGTCAAGAAAAAGGAAGCAGTTCCAGATGCAGCTATTCTGATTTCTTTGTCTTATTTCATAGTCCTTTTAAGGAATATTCAGAAATTACATTTGGCATTAAGTTCATTAGTTGGATATGTGCGGCCATTATGAGCCTTCACCAAAAATAGCTTACTTAGTAAAAAAGAAAAGAAATGTTGCTTGGTACTGGTTTTATTGAGATCAGCCTCTGTCAAAGCCAATAAAGGGTAATTAATTATAGAAAGGAAGAGGAAGGCTTGGGTTTTCATAACTACTGTAAAGGCATCAGACATTTTGAGCCTGGAAAAAAAGGAGTGCACAGCTGTTAAGGAATATCAAAGGAGAAAATAATTAGAAGGAGTTGGACATATCTTTTCTCATTTTCATCCTACATGAATTACTAGGCTGCAACTCCACTTAGTGGTTTGGGGCTAGAGCTCCCATTGTTTCTGCTGATGGGGAATTACAACCGAAGACAGGCAAAGAGTTGGGAAAAACTGTTAACCAATATAAGCAGAAAGGCATGTCTTCCATTTAAAACACTGAATGTGTCTGTTTTTAAAAGGTAGAAAAGGTACAAAATAAAACTAAGAAACATAGCAATGTCATTAGAGATCACCCTGTAGATATTCATCACAAAAACTCTCCATCTTACATACTGTAAGACGGGGAGAAAGCCATAGTAGACATGCAGAAAAGTTAAGATTTTTGTCCCTGGCCATAATTTGCTTCTCAGGATAGCCAAAGGATACCAGGCGTCACCTGATCTGAGGCTGACATGGCTGCAGAACATGGCGGCAAAGCATTCCGAACGTGGAAACCATGCAGAGGCAGCACAGTGTTTGGTGCATTCTGCTGCACTGGTAGCTGAATATCTGAGTATGTTGGAAGACTGCCGCTATTTACCAGTGGGCTGTGTCACTTTCCAGGTAAGAGAAGAAGGCAAGAGTACAGCATTTGCTGTAAAAGGGCTGAACCACTATGTCAGAGAAGTGCAACACCTCTACCCATTTACTCTGTACTTTTATATATGCTGTTGAAAGAAAACATTTTAGGTCCTTCCAAGTTTTCTCAAGAGAAGCAGAACCAAACTCACTTTCCAGGTTTTCTCAATAGAGCCAGAAACAGAGACCTAATAAAGTCTCTGTGTTTCAAGGAAGTTGTAGCTCAGAGGATTTTAATCTGATTCCCTAAAGATGTTTTGGAATTCAGTTTATGAGCCAAGGATAATTATGGGAGTTTCAGCCAAGATATCTTGAGAAGACCAAGTTGCCCATCTCAATTCTAGATTGAGTTATTCCTCTCCATCTGAGCAGTTTTGGGAGAATGAGACAGTAAAAGAAGAGAATTCAAAATAACAGAGTTGGAAGGGACCAATCCATTCCCTAGAAATAACTGTCTAATCTCTTCTTTAAAATGTTCAGTGATGGTGTCAGGTCCCCAAATACTTATTGTTTTCCCTGGATAGGTGCTCTTGTTTCGGGGCCTGCCATTCTGTTGGGGGGAGGGGGAAATTTCCTTTCACTTGGGATAGCTTTCGCTTTCTACCTTTCCTCTCCCGCCTCTATCCACTTGAGAAAGGAATGTGTCTCCCTTATCAGGGAGACTGTTACAGAGAAATGAAACTGGAAAAAACCTTGAGAGGCATGCCAACTGTGCCAGTTACCCCCACATCATGCCACCTGTGAATTGGCTGGATTTCAAATGGACATTATAACTCTGGTGGGGGAGGAATACTGCTGGTTTAACTATACTGTCCCCAGATCTTGCCTTGACTTCCCTATTGTCACTAACCCCTAATAAAAGTTTCCTTTTGAGACAATGCCTGTTTCAAGAGTTCTGCTTTCTTGGATGGTTAGCTGAGGTCCTTACAGATGAAGCACAAATAAATTCTGGAGGCTAGCAGTTCCAGTGATTAATTGTTCTCACTGTCAGGAAATTTTGCCATAGTTCTAGGTTGCTTCTCTTCTTGATAGTTTTCCATCTGTTGCTTCTTGTCCTTCTCTCAGGTGTTTTGTAGAATAGATTGACTCCCCTCTTCTCTGTGACAGCCCCTTAGATATTGGAAGACTGCTATCGTGTTATTCCTTGTCTTTCTCTTCATTAGACATGTCCAGTTCCTACAATTGTTCCTCATACAGTTTGTTTTAGCCTCCAGCACCCTAATCATCTTTGTTGCTCTTCTGTAAACTCTTTCTAAAGTTTCAACATCTTTTTTTGTATCATGTTAACCAAAATTGGACGTAGTATTCCAAGTTCTGTTTCTCTCTGACTCGGTCACTCAATAATTTATCTCTGTTTCCAAGAACATATCTTCCAATGTGCTAGAAGAGTCTGCTGTTTCAGATGACATCTTGTCCCCAGATGAAGAGGGCATCTGCTCTGGAAAATACTTCACAGAACAGGGACTGGTAGGCTTGCTTGAACAAGCAGCTTCTTCATTTACTTTGGTAAGAACTTCAAATGTGGCATGACTGGGGCTTGCATAATAATGCACTTATTTCCAACATACAAAAGCATTCTATATTGCCTTGATGATATCTGGCTGATTTGCTAGTGGGAGAATAGATAAGGAGCGATCAATATTATGGACAGCATGTAGCAGAACATTATGGTTAGAGCTGTTTTCCTAGGAAAAGACTCCTGGCATCTGAGCTCATCAAAAGGCTGGCATGTTTTCCTAGTTGTTTATTTTCAGTTCTTGAAGGGTCTATGATAGCTCTAGATTCCTATACAAGAGAGTCTCTAGTTGAGGGAAGACCTAACAAACCCCTTTTTTAGACATGTCAGCCCAATTGATTTCAGGGAAATGCATGCAGCTGTGGATAAGGCTATTATCCATTTTATCCCTAAAGCATGCCTTAAAATAAATTTTAAAATGACAAAAAAAAATCTTACATTTCAGTTAGTTATACTTTGCACAATGCATTTCCAGCATCCGGACAGAAGATGGTTGTATAATAGTAACAATTAGATGTTTTCTTCCATGGGACAGAAAATTATTCCTTAAGTAACCTTTATCAGTCTTGGTACATTCCTTAGAAGAGAAGCATTGCCAGTCTTCTGCAAAGTACTATTTCTGGCATACTTGCTATCTATCCAGCTAGTTGAAGCACTGATTGCATCTGTATACCAGTTGTCTCTCATTTCTCCTATCAGCCACCTTGCTTCTTAGTTGTCAGAACTGTCCTGATGGGGTGTTCCATGCCTTCTGAATTCTTTGTTCTTCCCAGGGTGGACTTTATGAGGCTGTCAATGAAACCTACAAGATTCTCATTCCCATCCATGAAGCCAATCGTGACTTCAAGAAGTTGGCAGTTCTGCATGGCAAACTGCAGGATGCTTTTAGCAAGATAACTGGCCAGGTAAGAACATTCTGTAGCATGGTTCATTGCAGTATCTCATTTTAGGAGATGAATTAGGGTGATAATCAAAAAGGAGCATTAACTTCTGTCCTTGGATGTTTTCCCAGACATTATTGTGTTCCATTTTATATTGTCTATCAGAAAAAAATAAACACAGGGTAGGTTGGCACATCATTTAAGCTGTAGTTTGTTAATTGTCATAATGAAAGGCCAATGTAATCTTGAAATACGTTAATAGAAGTATTGCATGCAAACCTATAGGAAATAATTCCATTGCACTCTGCACTGGTAAGATTACAGTTGGGTTGTTAGATTCAGTTTTAAGCATTGTACTTTAAAAAGATCATGGAAAAGCTGGAGCAGGTTCAAAAAAGAGACTAAAAATGATGAGAGTTCTGGAAACAAACTCCTATGACCACCCTGTAAAAGAGCTGAATACATTCAGCTTGCAAAAGAGAAATCTTAAATGACCTACAGATACACAAAGAGTCTGCCATGTGCAAAAGTGGTGCCAGGTTTTCTGTTAAACCTGAGAGAGGGATAAGAATCAGCAGGTTGAAATGAAAACCTAGGTTGGATAGTTGGATTAATTTCTGATGGTAAGAGCTGTTAAGTGTAGCTTCTGCTTCCTTATACTGTAGCTTTTCAAGGATCTCTACTTGTTAGGGAGGGTTAGTGAATTCCTACTTGGAGCAGGGAATTGAGCTACATAACCAATACGATCCTTTCAGACACATACATCTTATGATTCTTTGGTCTATAAAACAAGCCAAAATGTTTAGACTCTATACAGTACATGAAATAGAAACCAAACAAGCCACTCCATAGTTTAGTTAGTGTGAGTTGAGGACCATATTGAATCCATTTGGATAACTTCATTAAAAGTTTTCACTGCTAAAGTTATGTGGCAGTAGTTTGGATATCAGGACTAAAAGAGTTCCTTGAAGGGAAAATGAGGCATATGGCTTTATTGTGATATCACTATTTCATATCATAGATTCCATAAAGAAAAATGGATGGACAGGGAAATAAACACTTGTTTATACACTCTCAATTTTTCATAAATATTCCATTTATTTCTACACATTTCATTGTATAAATATGGATGAGGGTAAAAAGTGCAATTAGGAATTGATGAGAACCATGCTAATTTCAGGTATCTTGTTCAGCCAATATGGTTTTCCCCTGGGGGAAATATTTCAGTGTCTCAAATTGGTAATTACAATGTTAATTGTATGGTCAGATCCTGCAATTGATTTTCCTTCGTTGTTGAGATCTTAGGGATAGATAGAATGAAGCTAGCTATAAAAAGCCAATTTCTAGCTGATCCATTACAAAGGGGAGGGGATTTTACATTGCAGAATTAACCGTCTTCCCAGCGCTAGTCCTAAAGAACAGGTATTATATATTCAGTTCAAACATACCTTTGGGACTCACCAGTGATCAATTAGAGACTAAAGGATGCTAGGTTCAAAAAAGTAACTACCTTTCTTGTACCTGTCTTTTATATTTCCCTGTCTCCTTTGTTTGGCAATCAGGCCTCTGGCTGGGAGGTAGGCTATAATGTGTCTTGCTTCTTCTTGTGTGTTTGTGTGAATGTGCATGCAGCTTTAGTCCTGTAGTCTGTGCATTTATCATTAAACTCTACTACAGCTCTTTTATTACAATTGGATAGCAAAATAATAGAATATGTACCTTGAGCAAACTTTCTCTCTCTCTTTGTGTGTGTGCATGTGTGTACCTAAAAATCACTAAATTACAGTTAAAAATGAAAACAGTGCAGGGAAACCTATCTGGATCTCATTTCCACACCAACATTGTTGTCTTCAGTGTCCCAACTACAAGTAATCCTTGGTTTACAGCTGTAATTGGAACTGAAAGTGTCATTGCTAAGTCACAGAGTTATAAAGCACAATGCCCCCTGACTGCTGCTTAGCGATGACAATTCTGACAGTTCTGGTTGTTGACATTAAGCAAAAATTTCTGTATTCTGCACACACCCTTTCTTATAATAGGGAGTGCTTCCTTTCCATTTTAAATGGAACATTTTATGACTTTGTTTGAATAACCTGCATTATTCCATGCTGTAGAGAACCTTCAGCCTGGACAATTCCCATTGCAGCTTCATCCCTTTTTTAAAGCTTATACTGATGAGCTCCTTGATCATCTTCCCACTGGTGGTGCTGCAGTGGGACATCAGTTTTGGGAGGGTATGAAGTGTGACTTATTTCTTAAGAATTGGGGGGAAAGGTGCGCATTCTTTCTGGGAAACTCCAACCATAATCAAAGCCACCAACAGCTGAGTAGCATGAATCAGCCACATACCTCTGTTCCAGCTTACCCTGCCTTGTTCTCTCTCCTCATCTTGCTTATTCTCTATCTTGCTATTGTCTTTGTTCTACTGCTTGAGGGATCTTGTCTTGTGTGGCTGAAACTTCACAAAACTGGCCACTCCCCACTTTGAATTGTGGCCATGCTCCTCCTGATCTCCCTTGCCCCATTCCCTCTGCTTCTCAAACAAAATAAAAGCTCTGGGATTCAAGCCTGCCTAGGAGCCATGCCTTTTGTCCTACAGCCTACCCAAATGTTTTAGGATTTTCCATGATAGCTCTAAGAAAAGCTTTGTATATATTCTTCAAAACTATTCTTTTCATAGCGATAATTCAATTCTTAAGTATCCCAGGCTTCTGAATTTATTTTGTGAAATATACTAGTCTAAAATTTTTAAAAAAGCTCAGGAATATTATAATGCATGAACAGTGGGGAACACTCTAAAATTAGTATTACTAATATCTGTGTCATTTCATCATTTTAATTTCAGAATCAAATTACAATCATCTAGCCAAGGAGGATTTGTGTGTGTGTGTGTGTGTTCCAATTTGCAAATTAAGGAAGTACTGCACTGGAAATGCTTCAAAAGATGCCCTTCTAGAAATGGTTGCTGACCTCAGTTTACAAAGAAGGAGTCCTTTCTTGAGAAAGAGTAGAGCAGGGGTGTCAAACTGCCGGCCCACAGGCCGGTTTCATCATACTGGAGCTGCGCCACCCCATTGCCGGCAATGGCGAAAAAGCTCCGATACATTGCACAACGTCATGTGACGTCGCGAGTTTGACATGTCTGGAATAGAGGTTTCAGAAACAGCCTCCAAGTTCTGCTTTGGCAAAGGAAATGGAACAGCTCAGTCATGAACCTAAGTTTATCTCAGTCTGCTAAGGGACAACTGAGTTCAGTGCTAATGCTTTAGTAGTATGCTTTATCCCTCCTTCCATTCAGTGCAGCATGGCAGGATAGTTCAGGTATGGAAATTCTCAAGATGAAGAATGCTGGAATTTAGGGTAAGAAGCTCTGAATGTTGCCTTAATTTGTTTGAGTTGAGCTTTTTGGCAGTATACATATCATGAGGCAAGCTAAATACCTCGAATCTTCTGCCATTGCATCAGGAATGTTTAACTATTTTTCAGACACTAGTTTTATAGTTGTTCTGTTTTTCTTTTTGTTCTGTTTTCTATCATTTCATCTCTTCCTTGGTGTTTTTATTTTTATTAAACATCCTTCATCAAAATTAATCAAGTTCTGGCTATTGCCAAATGTATTTTTGACCAGCTGTGATAAAATTGATGACAAATTTATAAGTGTCAAATAGCTATTGAAAAATGGGTGGAATATGAATTACATTACCACAAGGGAGTACTTGATCAAGTTCTGGGTTGTGCATAGAAAACGTTTACTGCAAAACCATGAAAGTTGTTTCCTCCTTATAATTATAGCACTGCATAAAAATAATGTATTCAATAGACAGTGAAAGTGCACAGAGATATCCGGATAGTAAATATAACAATAGCAACTTATGTTAGGATAAAAAAGGATCTCAGTACAGGTAATCCTCAATTTACAGCCACATTTGGGGCCATAATATTGATCACTAAGCAATGTGATTGTTAAGCAAATCATCATGTCAGCAGACCTGATTTTATGACCACTTCACCACAGTCATTCAGCGAATCATATAGTCATTAAATGAATCATGCAGTCAAGCAAATCTAACTTCCTCAATTGACTTTTCTTGTCAGAAGCTGGCTGGGAAGGTTGCAAATCATGATCATGCAACTGCAAGACACCATAACCATCATAAATGGGCATCAGTTTGCACTTATGCCTGAATTGCAATTATGAGATAACGGGGGTGGTGCAGCAGGCATAACTTTGAGGATGTGTCATAAGTCACTTTTTCCATTTGAACCATTGTCAAATGAATAGTTGTAAGTCAAGGACTATTTATAGTATCAGGCCCTTTATGAACAAATCACTGAGACAAGACCCCTGTCCTCAGTTCACTCATCCCCACTCTCTCCATCTGGAGAATTGGTTGAAGAATTACCATTCTCTTGCTAACTTCTCTCTTTGTTTTTACTTTCCTACTCAACTTCTCTGCTCTTGATGCGGCCTGGTCCTGATTTGGTGAGTTGTAAACTATTGTAAGCTAACACTTTGCAACAACAACAAAAATATTTAATTTTTAGAAATATTTAATTTTTTTAACAAACAAAACAAGTCAGAGACTGACACTATAGTGACTTGCAAAGTCTGTCATATGTTTCAGCTTATGCCCACAGAAGACCAAAATTAAATATGTATCAAATGTAAACTACTTGAATTATTAGAAGTAAAAGTAAAGGGTCTAGAGGCAACTATAGCCACTCTGAAATTCAGTGAACAAAGTGAGAAATCCCAACCTAAACAAGAAAACTACACCAAAATAAAACACAATACGGAGCAAACAGCTTCTAAAAAAAATGACCCCATATATAAATATCAGTAAGAAAATCGGTATACACAAATTGAACACAAACAGCTTCCATAAAAAATGACCCTATATACCTAATGGAAACATGTCACTCTTAGAAGAAAACAACAGCCAAGAGCAAAGCCCCTTCTATCTAACCTAGCCCTCTGGAATTGAACAATTACTTTCATAGCCTCCCCCTGGAAGAAAATAATAATAATAATAATAATAATAATAATAGTAATAGTAAAGTTGGAAGGGACCTTGGAGGTCATCTGGTCCAACCCCCTGCTCAGGCAGGAAACTCTACACCATTTTGGACAAATGGCTGTCCAGTCTCTTCTTAAAAACTTCCAGTGTTGGAGCATTTACAGACACACCTATAAAAGAGCAGTCAGCAATAGTTTCTAAAAAAAGAGGCACAACCTGTATGACAGGAAGAAAAGTATCCCAGACTTCCCTAAGGGAAAAAAAGGTGAATATTAATGATAGGAGATTCAATTCTTAGGGGAACAGAAACTATAATTTACAGACCGCGCAGTCAATGTAGGGAGGTATATTGTCTCCCTGGAGCAAAAATCAAAGATGTAACTGAGTACCTTACTAAAATAACCCCTTTCTTCTCCTACACATGGGGACTAATGATGCAACAATGAATCTGGAAACAATCACAAGAGATTACAAACAGGTAGGTAAGAAAATTGAAGAATTAGGAGCACAAGTGGTGTTTTCATCTATATTACCAGCAAAAGACCAACATCCAGTGAAGGAGCAAAGGATTTTGGAAATGAACCACTGACTTAAAAACTGGTGTCGTCAATAGAACTTTGGCTTCCTAGACCATTGTCTGCATTAGCTAGATGAAGGGCTACTGGTAAGGGATGGATTGCACCTCACAAGAACTGGAAAGAATATATTTGGAAAGTGATTGACTCATTTTATCAAAGGAGCTTTAAACTAAAATTGAAGGGGGAGGGGCCCCCAATCTTCATGACCTTTAGAACCTAATTCCAGCAAAAACCACTAGATAATTAATCACATAAGGAGGTAGGGAGTAAAGAGTAAAAAGAAAAAAAAGTGGGGGGGGGAAATGAAGTACAGAGTGATGGGAAAGATAGAAATCCCAGTTACAAAGTAGGAGACATAGGAAACATGCCCAAGACCCATAAAGGACTCAAATGCCTATACACTAACGCTCAAAATTTAGGGAGCAAACGTTAAACCTGAAGTACGGTATTAGTACATGAAAGCAGATATGATATAGTTGCCATTACTGAAACCTGATGGGATGAAACTCATGACTGGAATGTACTGATGAAAGGATACAAACTATTCAAAAGAAACAGACCTAACAAAAGAGGAGGTGGAGTTGCAATATATATAAAAACACTACATCTCTACAGAAATACACAAAACCAAGGATGAAAACCTCCTAGAATCCATATGAGTCAATATAAAAGAAAAAGGAATGACATTGCTAGAGACATATATTACAGGCCACCCCACCAAGTAGAAGAATAGATGAACTTTTTGCTTTTGTAGGAAACATACCACAGTACTAATGGAGACTTTAACTATCCTGATATCAATTGGGAGACAAACTCTGCAGCAAGGGGGAGATTGAACAGATTCCTAACCAACTTAGCTGACAACTTTGTCATTTAAAAGGTAGAGAAGTGATAGAGAGATTTGAAGTCACCGGAACCTTGGCAAGAGTGATCATGTCATATTAGAATTCAATATAATGCAAACATAAGAAACAGAATATAATCCAACCAGTGTCTTAAACTTTAAAAGAGCTGATTTTAACAAACTCAGAGCAAGACTAAGAAAAATTCCATGGATAAAATTCCTAAAGGGGAAAACAGCTCAAGCAGCATGGGAGACTCTGAAAAATATAATCATAAAAGCCGAGTTTAACACAATACCACTGAAAAAGAAAAGTAATAAATCCAAGAAGAAACCAGCATGGCTGCACAAAGATCTCTCTGATAAACTGAAAGACAAAAAGTATAAAAAATGGAAAGAAGGACACATATTTAAGGCAGAATATCAGCAAATAGCCCGAATCTGCAAGATGAAGTCAGGAAAGCAAAGGCTTAGAATGAACAAAGACTTGCAACAAAAGTCAAAGATATTTTTTTTAAAGTTTCTTTTATCATATAAGTAACAAGAAAAAAAGTCGAGGAAATTTCCAGTCCACTAAAGAGAGGAGATCGCAAAGAAGTAACAGGCAGTAGAGAGAAAGCAGAGCTGCTTAACTCATTCTTCACATCAGTCTTCATGCAAAAAGAAACTAGCCTAACCTATCAAAAACATAACTAAAACATCACCATTGGAGGCAGTCACATACCCCAATCTGTACAGGAAAGATAAAGCTATTATATATAAAGACATCTTGACAGAAGAAGGTTATTTAAAACAAAAACAAGAGCTAAGACAACAAGGAATAGACATGGAGTGGTGGTCTTATCTCCAGATACAAGCAAGATACATGAAGGATAAGCAAGAATGGGGAAATAACAGACAAAATACGGGGTTAGATAAAATACTGCTAGGCCTGGAGAAAAAACAAATAAAGAATATCCATAAACACCTGTTGGAATATAAGCTATATGAGGAGCAGGTTAAAGAAACAATGGTGACATGGGCAATAGATCTAGGATATAATACAAATATGGATCAATGGCAGCAAGTATGGGAGCGAAATATCAAAATCACAGTGGCAACATCATATAAAGAAAACCTGTATAAGATGGTTTACAGATGGCATCTTCCTCCGGCCAGATTAGCCAAAATGTATAACGGTTATTCATCTATGTGTTGGAAATGTAAAAAAGAAAAGAGCACCTTTTTTCATGTATGGTGGACATGTAGAGAAGCACAGGTGTACTGGCATAGTGTACTGGTGTATGGTCTTGGAATGGGCAATAGAAATGACTAGGCAAAACATTCAATACAAACCTGAGACATTACTATTAGGAATACTAGAGAAAAATGTAAATAAAGAGGACACATATTTAATTATCCACGTGGTTACAGCAGCAAGGATACTATTTGCTCAAAAGTGGAAAGCAATGGAAGTACTGAGTGGGGAAGAACTAATAAAGAAAATTATGTATTGCGCAGAATTAGATAGGATAACTAAAAGATTAAAAAAATCAGGAAGAAACAGAATTTTATCGAATATGGAATAAATTTTATAGATGGAGGGGGAAAAAATGGAGGTCACAGTAAAGAGATAAGTTGAGATAGAGACCAGAAATGTATAGTTGTATATAGATATATTATATATAATTAATGTACAATATGGACTGAGATGTCAGTCAAAGACGATTTACCATGTTCAATGTTTTTAATCCTTTTTTTTCTTTGTACTTAATAAAAAACTTTAAAAAACATAACTAAAAGACAGACTAGAAATAAAAATTAAAATAAGCAAGAAAATGATAAGAGAACACCTGTCTAATCTTGATGAATATAAATCACTGGGATCTGATGTCATAAAATATATGATATTCCAGAGTTATGAAGGAGCTAGCAGATGTTATCTCAGAACAAGTGTACCATATCTTTTAAAAAATCCTGCAGCACTGGGAAACTACTAGAGGATTGGAAAAGAGCTGATGTGGTTCCCATCTTCAAAAAAGGAAAAGAAAAAAACATCCAGGAAACTAGAGACCAATCAGCCTAACATCAATATTTGGGAAGATACTGGAAAAAATAATTTTTAAAAAACCAGATCTGTGAACAGATAGAAACAAAGTTATAACTAAAAGTCAGCATGGGTTTGTTAAAAATAGATCATGCCAAACCAATCTTACTACATTCTTTGACAAAGTGACTAAATTAGTAGACCAGCGAAATGCTGTGGACACAGACTTCAGCAAAGTATTCGACAAAGTAGATCACAACCTACTTGTTGGTAAACTAGAAAAATGTGGGATAGACACATCACCACCAGATGGATTTGTAACTGGTTGACAATATACTACGTCTACATGGAGAAAGTAAGCAATGGAGTAACACAAGGTTCCGTCTTAGGCCCAGTACTCTTCAATATTTTCATAAATAACTTAGATGAGGGAATAGAAGGTGAACTCATCAAATTTGTAGATGACACTAAACTGGCAGGAATAGCCAACACCCCAGAAGACAAGCTCAGGATCCAAAAAGATCTTGACAGACTTGAACAATGGGCCATATCCAACAAAATGAAATAATGTGGAGAAAAGCAAGATTTTACACTTAGGCAAGAAAAACCAAAGGTACAAGTATAGATTAGGCAAAAACTGGTTCAAAAACAATAACTGTGAGAGGGACGTTGGAGTCCTAGTGGATGATCACATAAACATGAGTCAACAGTGCGGCAACAGTCAGAAAAGTTAATACAATTCTTGGTTGTAGAAACAGAGACATAGAATCAAAATCACGTCAAGTATTAGTACCGCTTTATAAAACCTTAGTAAAACCACACCTGAAGTACTGCATCCAGTACTAGAGAAAAGAAGAAATAGGGGCAACAGGACAGCAGTATCCCAGTATTTGAGGAGCTGCCACAAAGAAGAGGGGCTCAACTTATTTTCCAAAGCACCAGAAGGCAAGACAAGAAACAATGGATGGAAACTAATCAAGGAGAGAAGCAACTTGGAATTAAGGAGAAATTTCCTAACAGTGAGGACAATTAACCAGTGGAACATCTTCCCCTCAGAAATTGTGGGTGCTCCATCACTGGAGATTTTAAAGAAAAGACTGGCAACCACCTGTCTGAAATGGTATAGGGTCTCCTGCTTGATCAGGGGGTTGGACCGGAAGACCTCCAAGGTCCCTTCAAGCACATTTCAGGGGGTGCAGGAAGAGATTGATCTTTATTGGCAAATGATGGTCCCTGAAAGTACCTTCAAAATCACAGGATTACCTGGATTGTTCTTTGTGGACACAGTGCAAACAGAAGCAGGCAAGAATATAAACCCACACTTAATTGTAAATGCATATGTTATTGTTAGCTGTCCAGAGTTCTTAAAATGAGTAGCTGAATAAATGTTTAAAATAAACATAAACTGGATTCAAGGAAAGAATTGCTGAGAGTGGAATAGGTAGCCAGATTAGTAAAACATGTTATAGTTAAGGTTAAAGTTTTCAGTCTAACCTTGCTGTTGTATTTCTCCCTCCATTCCTTTAGATTGCTTTAGAGAATGTTTGGAACGTATTTCCGAGTTGGTTTTTATGGCAACAAATTTGGAGACCTGGATGAACAAGAGTTTGTCTACAAAGAACCTTCTATCACTAAATTAGCTGAAATTTCTCATCGACTTGAGGTAACAGCTAAAATATCCTCAAAGGAGATATAGATGAAGCAATTTAATAACGAGTGAATATGTAAGGGAAAACAGAGATTGAACTGTGAATGGGAACACAGCACCAATTGTGTCTCTTTAGAGTGTTTGCATGCAGTCTTGCTCTTATGCCCTGGTAAGAACTTGCTGAAAAGAAAATTCCATTCTTGGCTTTCAGAAATCTGTGCAAGTAGTAGTAGTAGTAGTAATAATAATAATAATAATAATAATAATAATAATAATAATAATAATAATAATAATAATAGTAAAGTTGGAAGGGACCTTGGAGGTCATCTAGTCCAACCCCCTGCTCGGGCAGGAAACCCTACACCATTTCGGACAAATGGCTGTCCAGTCTCTTCTTAAAAAACTTCCAGTGTTGGAGCATTTACTGCTTCTGGAGGCAAGCTGTTCCACTGATTAATTGTTCTAACTGTCAGGAAGTTTCTCCTTAGTTCTAGGTTGCTTCTCTCCTTGATTAGTTTCCACCCGTTGATTCTTGTCCTGCCTTCAGGTGCTTTGGAGAATAGCTTAATTCCCTCTTCTTTATGGCAGCCCCTGAGATATTGGAACACTGCTATCATGTCCCCCCTTGTCCTTCTCTTCGTTAAACTAGACATACCCAATTCTAGCAACCGTTCCTTATATGTTTTAGCCCCCCAAATTTATGTTGCTAAGTGAGTTTTGTCCCTTTCTTGCTACAATTGTTCAGTGAATCCTTGCAATAATTAGTAACACGGTTACTAGTTGAATCCGGCTTCCCCATTGACTTTGCTTGTCAGACGGTCACAAAAGGTGATCACATGTCCCTGAGACACTGCATCCATCATAAATATGAACTGATTGGCAAGCTTCCAAATTTTGAGTATGTGACCATAGGGATGCTGCAATGGTCATAAGTGAAAAACAATCATTAGTCACTTTTTTCTGTGTCATAACAATGAATGGTCACTAAATGAATGGTTGTAAGTCAAGGACTAACTGTATACATTGTGCAGTGTGCGTATGCAGTGTGATCAGAGCTGTTGATCTCCATACATTCTTATCTAGGAAGCAGTATCAATATACTTGATGTTTTATTTATATTATAATATTAATATATTTAATTATTAGATTTCATCTGCCTTTATTACTTTGTAGATATTGTAACTCAAAGCAATGAACAGACATAATAGTCCTTCCTTCTCCTATGTTCCCCACAACAACAATCCTGCGAATTGGATTGGGGTGAGAGAAAGTGATTGGCCCAAAGTCATCCAGTTGGCTTTTATGCCTAAAGCAGGATTAGGACTCAGTCTCCTGGTCTGTAAGGCAGCACTTTAACCCCTACACTAAACCGGCTCTCACTTTGACATGAATATAATTATAAGCTCCCTATATAGAAGATAGCTGTTTTCCAGTACTTGAGGAGTTGCCACAGAGAAGAGGGGTTGATTCATTCTCCAAAGCACTAAGAGCAGGATAAGAAGCAATGGGTGGAAGATCTAAAACTAAGGACAAATTTCCTGACAGTGAGAATAATTAATCAGTGGAATAGCTTGTCTCTAGAAGCTTTCGGTGCTCCATCACTGAAGGGTTTCAAGAAGAGACTGGACAATGATTTGTCCGGAATGGTATAGAATCTCCAGGGGGTTGGACTAGAAGACCTCCAAGATCTCTTCCAACCCTATTATTCTCTGCTCTATGTTCTAAGAACTTTGTAGATAAAATTCTATTGATTTGTTACCTTTTTCCTTTCTAATATCATGACCACAATTTATCAGTATTTTGCTTTCGAATTTTAGTATTCCATTCATCTGTGAAAAGATGGTAAATTTGGGTGTGTTATATTGGCATAAACTTTTTCAATATTCATTTGTTCTTCACCTGTATTGGAGCATAGATTGGGACTCACCCTTATAATGAGAGACTTGCCTGGGCTCACATTCAGATTGTATAATTTGGGGGGTTGTGTCCAAACACTGATTTATGCACTCTTCTTTAAAAACTTCAATTCTTTTATTTTTTTCATGTTAATACTAGATGATTTGGTACCCCTCTGATGTGAAAAGTAACCATTTCAGTTCGTTTCAGTTGACTGAAGATCGCTAGTACCTACTATGTCAATCTTAGGTCTTGATATACCAGTGATTTACCTATCTTGGCAGCATCAGACTTTCATTTTGCCTCTATGTGCGTCAGTAGCCACTTGAATTTAATCCTCTGTCACTCTGCTACTCTTGTTTACACTGTGCCTTTTACCCAGTAGTGTGTTGGATACTCTCCAGGCGGACAGGCTCATTGTCTGCTATCATGTAGACATGGTTTTGGTTATGAATGTTTATTTTCTTTTTCTTGGCAAAATACTGGAATGGGTTGCCATTGCTGCCTCATGGCTGAGCCTGAACCTAGGTTTGCAGGATCTTGGGTGGCCTGGGTGGAAACATGCAGTTCTATCTTATAGGAATAAAGAAGACATATGAACTATGTACAATTTGCTAAATATATTGATGAGATCCCTATGTATTTCCCCTCCTTTTTTAAGTAATGGATTGGAGAGCGGGAGGCATTGTCTGTTGATGCTTAGAAAATGTACCCCATGCTGTGACAGGCAGCATAACAGATAGATAGATAGAGAGGGGGGGTCTCCTAGGCAGGGTCTTACATTTAGGGGGGGGGGAGCTGTCTAATTCTTCCTAGGGAGAATCTTCTGCATTTTTTTTCCTATATGCTCTTCCTCCCACAGGGTGCTCCAACTGAGATATAAGATAAGCTTATCGTGGATACTGGAGTGAGACATTGATATATCTAATTCATATTAACTTTTATATTGATATAATTATATAAAATATAATTAAAAACTACAAAAATACTTTGATTCTATTGAACACAATTTTAGGAAGAAAAAGTGGTTATTGGAAATGCTCAAAATCTCATATTAATTTTGTTCTACTTGCCATTTAACTTTTAGAAATGTTGAATTGTTCTTTTGAAATATGTACCAATAATATATACTTGAAAACTAAAAGGAATGCAATGGGAATGGGTATTATGACTCTTCTTCTTCTTCTTCTTCTTCTTCTTCTTCTTCTTCTTCTTCTTCTCCTTCTCCTTCTCCTTCTCCTCCTCCTCCTCCTCCTCCTCCTCCTCCTTCTTCTTCCTCCTCCTCCTCCTCCACTTCCACTTATTCTCCTTCTTCTTCCATGTCTAGATCAGACTTTAAACTGCCAGAATGAAGCCTTCTTGGCTTTTGTCATTAGTGAAAAAAAGTCATTATTGGAACATGCTTCTGGTAGCAGCCGACATACCAGCAGATGGGCCAGGCTGTGTATCTCTCCACATTTACATAGCATGTTGTTATCCACTAAGAGTCCGCACTTGAGCATATTTGTTTTACACTTAGGCATTCCAACTCTCAACCTATTCAGGGTCTTCCAAGTATAAGGGAGGTCAGATCCTTCAGGCATATCATCCTTAAATATTATTCTTGGCTTGATAGTCCTCTTCTTCCATCTTTTAATTCAGTTTTGTTTTTGTGTACCCTCAAGAATGTTTGTTTTTGCCATAAAGCTGTTTCTAGATCTGAGTCGATGGGCTTGGGGCATATGTCTGTTCAGAGGATGTTGAGGATCATTATCTTGCTGTCATGGTTCCAACAGACGTTACTCTTCAAAGTACTTCGAGGCATTGTTTTCCTTAAAGAATCTTTATTCAAATAACATTGCATCAGCACGTACATGGTCGAAGCCAAAATCTGACTTCCCCTCCCCATAGCACATAGATCAAAGCACAATTCCCTCCTACAACTAACAGTCATAAATCACATTCTCCAATGAGTTTGAAATGCTGGCTTTCCATCCAGTTCTTCATCCCACCATGCCTTATTATCTCTTATTACAATATTGTATGTCTAACTAACTCCCATCACATTCCTCCCCCTCCCCCAGTATAATCTAATTCTAAGAGTAAAGCATAAGAAAGAAAAAGGCTGCATCTCCATATGTTGTCAAAGCAAGAACATCCAATGTTAGCAGCGTTAACACTTGCTTAGTTCTCTCAACATCTGCAGCTACTTCTCTCCTGATCTTAGGTGGGGCAATGCCCAGTGAGAGAATATATTTTCTCAATTGGGGTAGGTTTGAGACAACCTGTCACTAAGCACACTGCTTCACTGATGGTGATATCAACTTGTTGGCGTGTGGAGATGCGCCATACACTGGAGCAGTAAACCTGGGAAAAACCATTATGATTGTAAAATTGTAAGTTTCCAACAAGTTTGGAAACACATACATTCTTGGTCAATTATACAAAAGACTAAGGAGCTATTTGAGTTTTGTCTTTAACAGAATTTTGGATTATGTCTGTAACATTGTTACACTGCAAATACCTACTGCAGATAGAACCGCTTCACTGGGCAGAAGGAAGGAGAGAAAGAAAGGAAAGGAAAGGAAAGGAAAGGAAAGGAAAGAAAGAAAGAAAGAAAGAAAGAAAGAAAGAAAGAAAGAAAGAAAGAAAGAAAGAAAGAAAGAAAGAAAGAAAGAAAGAAAAAGAAAGGAAGGGCATCTATAAAAGAAGAGGCTGTGGTTCTAGAATTGGTTTTGTACAGGTAGTCCTCGAGTTATGAATGTAATGGAGATTGCCCATTCCATTCTTAACTTGAAAATTCATGGGAATGAATCTCGTACCTCAAATGAGCTCACTCCCTTACTTGTTAAGATGCACACGGCTTGTTAAGTGAACATGAGGCATCTCAGGGTGGGGAAGGCCATGGAGGGCCTAGTGATAGAACAAGCCCCCAAGGCCTCCCCGACCACTAAGATACTTCACGCTTTCCCCTCCCTTCATGCTGTGCCAGACTCACCTTGAAAACCACTTCAATCCACATCTTAAGAAAGCAGAACTCTTGGAAACAATCTCTTCCAACAGGAACTTTTATTAAGAGAAATTGATAGTAGGCATAATAGATAGGATCTGAGGGATTTCCTTACAAATCAATGTTTTAAAGTGTCCCTAAGCAGTTCCCACCCCGCAGTTCTTCCGGGCGATTCAGACCGGCAAATTTCTAGATGTTAAATCCAGAAAAGATATTATCAATCGGGCTCCATTGTACACGATCATTCAACAACTCCTCACACCTTATTTTGATGATGGATAAATAAACCAGATTCCGGAGGCTGTATCTTTTCACACCCCCTTTCCCTAGCTGGCTGGTAAGGAGAAGTTCAGAGGGGCATAGGATAAAAGGCTAATGGTTACATTGTGATGATTAGCAGACACGAGGCGAATAAACAAAAGGTTACTTTGTAATGAATAGAGGAAGTGAAAGTAATAAACCCACATGCATATCCCCCCTCCCCCTTAGGAGTATGGCAGGATCCAGGAGAGGGTAAGAATTGGTTTTATATCAGAGAAGATAGATATAAAGGAAATATAACTGGATCCTGACAATCCGTCTCCTCTCTGCTGTGGTTCCTGCTGCTGCCTGGATCTGAGCCTGGGGAACACTTCTGTGTGCCTCCAGCGGCCAGATCCGGGCATTGGAGGCCTTTTCCAGGCTGCTGTCACCCAAAGTGAGTCTGGGGGATGCTTCCGTGTGCTTCCGGAGGCCCGATCTGGGTGTTGGAGGCCTTTTCCAGGCCTCTGCCGCCTGGATCTCCAGGCCTGGAGCAGCCAAAAGGGTGAAGGATCTTGATCTTTGCAGGGTGAGTATTGAAGGCCTAGTGCATTTTATAATTAGTATTTCGTAGAGTTCTGGCATTTACAACAAAAGCCTAGACGGAAAACATTAACTCTTTTACTGACTGGATACTTTAAACCAGGAATGAGAAAACTGATCCCACGGGAAGTATTGAACTATCTTGTTACTAGACATATGGTTAATCGTCATTCTGATGACCTGAGATATCCAGAATCATCTCAGACCTTTTTGCCTTGCAAAATTGTCCTGTTTTGTTTTCCATTCAGGAGTTTTATGCTGAACGTTTTGGGCATGAAATAGTGGAAATCATCAAAGGTTCCAATCCTGTAGACAAGACCAAACTGGATCCTAATAAGGTAGATTCTACTGTGCATAGTATTAGACGTTGGACTATATGTTTAAACCAAGAAGACATGAACAGAAAGAAGCTGTGGATCTCTAGGTATAGCAATTCCTAAATATTTCTAGTGTAGCATTCTAGGTAAGAAGTGATTTACCACATTTCTTCTTCCATACGACATATACCACAGTGGAAATGCCTTTAGGATTTCTCCTCTCATTCCATAAGCTACACATCTTGCCTATAAACTACTGAAATTGCAAGGTTATCAGAATGCTTGTCCTGTTTCCCCCCTCCAAGAATCCAATGCTGCTTTGGAGCAGCTGCTGTCTTGCCCTTGTTCCAATGATAACCTGAACTCCAAGCAAGCAAGTGCCTGATGCAATAGTGCTGAAAGGATGCTGATCCTGTCTTATCTTGTCACAGGCATACATCCAGTTGACTTATGTGGAGCCTTTCTTTGACACCTATGAACTGAAGGACCGTGTCACGTATTTTGACAAGAACTACAATCTGCGCACCTTCATGTTTTGTACCCCATTCACATTGGATGGACGAGCACATGGGGATCTGCACGAGCAGTTCAAGCGCAAGACTCTACTCACCACTTCTCATGCTTTCCCCTACATCAGAACTCGCATTAATGTCATCCACAAGGAAGAGGTAATAGGAGAATCAGCTCGTGGAGCTTGCAGGGATCACAGTTACTGGGAGTGAAAAAATTGTAGAATATGGTTTGTATGCAAAATTCACCTTACCGAAGATCTGTTTTCTGTATTTTATGATGTATGGAAGTAAGCTTGAAAGTGTTTCAGCAGTTTAATTTTTAAGACCTCAGAAAAGTTAAATTCTTTCAGACAGAGAAATGGCCAGAGAATATTGCACTGTGTGAATGCAGTGCAGACTTCTCCAAGTGTAGCATTTCCAGGCTACACTTTGTGAATAAGTTATGCGAAATAGTAAATGTAAGAAAAACATTCATTGTAAATTAAATTATGAGATAGAGGTCAGGTGGTTATAACCCTTACACTGTATGTGCCAAACTGGATTGGAACTAATTTTATATATTTTTTTGTACTTATACAGGTCGTTTTAAGCACAAGGAGGTAATCTTCTGACAGTTTTGTTTATGTTTGCCTTGTCTTGTTTCCAGATTATTCTTATTCCTATTGAAGTAGCCATAGAGGACATGCAGAAGAAGACTCAGGAATTGGCTTTTGCCACCCACCAGGACCCAGCTGATGCCAAGATGCTGCAGATGGTGCTTCAGGGATGTGTTGGAACTATAGTCAACCAGGTACACAACCATGGATTGGGAAGAACTTTTATTGCAGGCGGAGAGGCTTCAGGCCTAGTTAGCAAAGTGAGGTTGAGTGAGAACAGAATTGAATCCTCTTGGCAGAGATAGTAGTTGAGGAACAAAGATGTTGCAAAATGAAGGAAGCATGATATATTACATAATGATGGATATATGATACAGCAACTGCAGAAGACTCTGAGATTTAAGTTTGGGGATGTGTATAGCATTAAGCAGCATTGATTATGTTTGTCAGTGACCTACAGCAGAATCTGTATAGAGGTTGTCACTGTAGGAGAGCTGTGTTCTCAGAAGCAATGGAATGGCCAGCCTGATATATGACTGGGATGAGGCAGGGGAAACAAGGTGATTATGTTGATACAGTGTCTATCAGTGGGCTTCCAGGTACAATTCAGTGTTGATTGTCATCTCTAAACCCCTTCATGGCTTAGGCTCAGGCTCTGATTACTTAGAGGACTGCCTTTCTTCTGAGGCCAGTCATTTCTGCACAACCAGAAATGTAGAATTGACGTATTCCAGGTCCTGGTTATAAAACAATATCATTTAGAGGGTCCTAGGAGACGTGTTTTTTCTGTAGCTGTGCCTGCCCTGTGGAACAGTATTTTCTCTGAGGTCCGTATGGCCTCATTCCTGCTGTATTTTCATAAAACATTAGGAAAGTGCCTCTTTCAGTGGACCCTGAGGCAGGATGAAATGATCAGGATTCTTGATAGGGCATCTTGGATTTATTATGACTGTTTGAGTTTGGTCTATGCATTACTGTTTTCTGGGTTCTTGTTTTACTTTATTTTTTATTTTAATGTGTAAGAATTCTAAAGATACTCCAGTGAATGAGGCAGCATTCAGGTTGATAATTAAATAAAAATAATATGTCTAAGAGTGGCCTAAAATTAAATTTGATACAGATGGAATGGCAAGTGAAGGAAATCTTCCCACTTGTGTTCCAGATTCTGACTCCAATTCAGGCATTCTTACCATACTTCCTCTCCATGCCTTTCCTGTTCCAGGGTCCTCTGGAAGTGGCACAGGTATTTTTGGCTGAGATCCCCGATGATCCCAAACTCTATCGACACCACAACAAACTCCGACTGTGCTTCAAAGATTTCACTAAGAGGTAATGCACAATGACAACTGCCACAATACCATAGGCTTCATGCACAATTTGATAACTACATTTATATGCTGTTCCATCATATTTATAGGGCCTTACAAAAATAAAACATTAACTAAAAATAATTGCAAATAATGTTAATAATGTGCAAGAACAGAGGATAAAGGAGCATTACATAACCTCACTAAAATATATTTATTTATAATTGCAGTAAATTCAAATGCTCATAATGTAAAGGCTTGGGAAAATAAAGTGAGCTCCACCCAAGGAGGCCTCTAAGCAAAACTTTCAATATAGAGTATAATGTGTTACATCAGAAATGACCTCCAAAACTTGCATACTTCTCCCATTAATGCAGATGCAACTGTGTGTCATCCCAGTACATCTTTGTTGGGCTTAACGTGAGGCTGAGATCGTCATGTGCTTTTCCTCCCTTTGCAGAGAACCATTTAGATAATAGAGTCAAGAAATGTCTTTTGGGGCAGCATAAAAAAGCAACTGCAAGATGATATACCAGAAATGGTCTTAGGGAATGAAGGGGATTTTCTTTGCAAGTAATATTGGGAAGGTCAGTGAAAAGACATATACAGAATTTGTACAGGACAGAAAAAGGTTTCTTAGACAATAACTTTAGAAAGTTTGCTTCTTAGATATAGATTTCCCTGATTTACATCACAGTTAAAATAACTTCCAGCTATGCTAAAGGAAGATCAACTGGAATTCTCTTTTACAGAATTCGCTTTCCAGAACAATTCTGCTTTCCAGAATAGCAGCTCTGGGGGGAGGTTGTTATGAGGATTCAAGCATAGGGATGGAGGATGCCTCTGTCATATACTCCCTAGGAGAGCTAAAAGAATACTCTGCTCTTACTGTGTTGACTTGCATCCTGCTTCCACACACAAAATATATCAAAATAATATATATCCAAGTTAGTACAACTGTTGTGAGGATCTCAAAAAATCAGCAGAGTGCAGTGCTCCAAAGGTTAGACTGTGGTTGGGGAGAGGTAGATTTCTTTAATGGACTGAAGAGAGCCAAGTAAAAGGTTCTTTTCAAATATGGAGGCTCACCAATTACTTTGGCCTTTCTCTGTCTGTTAGGTTTTCTATTGATAAAATAAGAAGAGATTCCTGTGTATACCTTCAGCAGGTGGCAGCATCTAACAAACCATATCTAAGCTTGGAAGCTAAGCAAAGATGTTCTGGTTAGTGCTTGCTGATGGCAATCCTCAGAAAGTATGTGGACATGTTCATAAGTCACCAGCATTCAAGTTCAGCTCAAAAGTGACATTAACTTCATCAGTATAAGTCTATTCAGGTCATAGGAGATAGTCAGGATAAATGCAGTATTTTCTCTTGAGAGCTGGGGAGGGGAAGGCAGGGGGGGAAACGTCCCTAATTTTACACCCACAACAGCAACTTTACAGAGATAGGCTGAATAAAAAAATAGAACTGGCTCAGAGAGCTTGATAAGTGAAGGTGGACTTTTATCTGGCTCTTCTGGTCCAGTAAAATAAGATAGATGAAGCAGCTCTTACACAACCACTTGTCAAGTAACAAAGCTGCCTCAATTCATTTGTGTCAGCATTTCTTTTTGAGTATTTGATAGAGCTGAGCATTCTTCTCTACTCCTACCCTGACCTGTGATCATTTTATTTTTATTTTTTTTAAAGTTTTATTAGTTTTTAAGAATTACAGTCTTTAGAACTTAGTAAACAACATGTTGTCTGGGTTCACATATTTAACATTAACGTCTTCAATATAAGTCTATTCAGTACTGCACAATGCAGTATTTTTCCCCTGATCCGCCTTTCTTCCCCATATTTTTTCCATTTTCCCCTCATTATACAATTAGAATTCTTGATACTATCGATTTATACAGAGTTAGATATAAACATCTTCATCATATTTTATTAATATACAAAATAACAATATCAATTCATAAATCGATATCCTGTTTTTTGTGCTCTTGTTAAGATTTAATTTCCCATCAATATTTAAAATATCTTTGTCAGTTATTATTTTCTCGATATTAATTACATTTATATAGCTAAAAGTTTTATTCATACTAATCTTCCTCTTATTTTCATATTTCCCCTAAAAGAAGAGGAAAAAATGCTATTTTAATTTTAAATCATATCTTTCATTATAAAAAGTTTAATTATATCTAAAGGTCATCCTTTCTTTTAACCATATTCAAACAAGTACTTAAACATACGATGCCCCCTCTAATAGATCAAATCTTCTATTTTTTAAATCTAACTCTGACTTTCTTTCTTTGCCAAGTAGCTTTCCAAACCAAGGCAATTAAATCGCCCAGGAATTTTCTTTCTATTTTTATGAAAGTTTGGCATGAGGAAGACAATTTAGATAGGGTATTTTTGAGGGGCAATTCCGCCCATTTATGTTCCTTAAGCAACTCCCATCTTCCTTCTCCCTCAATTTCTCCCCTCATCTTTTGTCTCCCAAATTGTAACATTTCTCCTGATGGCTCTATGTTCCATTCCCCAAAATCTTCTTCCTTGTCATCTGGTGTATCTTGCAAGCTTAAAGGGTAAAGGGTCTTTTGCAATTTCATTGTTATGGATAAATCTTGCAGTATTTTATTTGTGTATAATAGTTTATATTTTCCTTCTTTCATCTCTTCTGTCTCTAGATCCATTTCCTCTGCTTCATCTTTCGATCTCTGGTTTATTTGTTCATATTTTGTAGTCGTTGTCTGGGAACTTTCTAGTTGTAGATTTAATCTGGAGATTTGCTCATTTATATTTAAATTAGTTTTAGTCGCATTGTGGTTTCTTTTTATGTCCTCTTTGTATGCAACAATTGTTTGGTGAATTAGTTGTAGCATAGAGTATATTTCCTTCTGAAAGGTATTTGTTTTTTCTTGAGGCATCATTGCTGGAGATCCTCTAATATCACCAGTCTCAGTAAGAGTAAACAAAGCTTCCTCTATCTTTCTGGTCTTTATATGCCGCTTTTATAATCCAGAAGATTTTAGAGTACAGATCCAGTCCCAAAAGCAATATTTTATAATAATCCTTTGTCAGGCTTCCAAAAATTGTTAATCAGGCAATATAATCCACAATGTTCAAAGTGTTCAACCTCTCTGAAAACAGCTCAAAAGCCTCTCCCAGCCAAACATAATCAAAGGTCAAGTTTTTCTTTCCCTTCCACTAGCTCTTCAGATTAAGCTCAGTGGGTGTTTGTAATCCAACAAGGTCAGGGTGATAAGTATGCCAAAATATTTTCCTTTATTGCCAGCTGTTCTCCCTTAGGCTAGGAATCACCAAACAGGCAGGAAGCTAGTTATAGTGCTGTACTCAGATTCACCACTAGATATCATTCAAAATCCATTTTCCATTCTTAAAACAAAGGGTTGATTTCTTGTATTTCACCTTGATGTTTTTTTAAGAGAAAATCTTAACAATTATCTCAATTCTCAAATTTCAAAACTATTTTTATATTACTTCCACTTCAATATTGTGTATTTCTGTCTCCCATAGAAATTAAAATGCTGCTTCCATTTACATTCGGAGGTTTTTAGCTTCTTGGGAGCCTTTCCCAGGAAATCCAGTTATAAAATAGTAAAGAAAGGATTGATATTCTCACTCAGTTCCAAACATGCTATTTACGATGTACTAATTGGTGCTTTTATTCTTCGATTGTCAGCAGCTAATGGCTGGCTGCAGAAATGTAGCCGGTCTTTCCCCTGCTGGTTTGGAGGGCTTTCCTTGAATCAAATGGAAATACCGCTGTCTCTCCATGATCAACAAGGCATCCATCCGTCTTCGTCACCTCTTTGGGATGACTTTAGGCCCTTTTCAGGCCCGCAGCGAAATTGGGCGCAGAGGGCAGAGCCTTGCCTTCCTGCATCCATCTCGCCGCAACGCAAAACCAGAAGTCCTGACCTATGATCATTTTAAACTGGGCAAAAGTTATTTATGAAAATATGATTATGGCATGCTCTTAGAAACATCTACATTTCATTATGTTAATTAAAGCAACTTAATTCACACACTGGCTGTACAATTTCTCTTGACAATCTTGTCAACGCTGCTAACATCGGATGTTCTTGCTTGAAAATGCAGTCATTTTCTCTTTTTCCTTTTAGCTACTTTTAGAATTAGTTGGTGCAGGGAGTGGAGATTGGGATGTGAGCTCAGTTAGCCATAATAATAACTCTGCAGTGGGAACCCAGGGCCAAACTGGGTCCAGAGCTAATAACATTTTGGCGAGCTGGGGAGAAAGCCCACGCTTTAAGCTAATTGAGGAATGTGCTTTATGACTGTTTATTGGGGATGGGAATTGTACTTTGTTACTCTGTATCCAGGGGAGGGGAATTTAGTTTTTGGGTTCAACTATGTAGTGCCGATACTTTGTATCCCGAATAAAAGATTCTTTAAGGAAAACAATGCCTCAAGGTTCTTTTGAAAGGTTTCATTTATCAGAACCATGACACTTGTCTTAACAAGGAAAGGTAGATACAGATTTTATATACAGCACCTCTAGAAAGGGGGGTAATGCTAAGTAATTCATTGCTGTCCATCCTACAAACACAGCTTTGCTCTCTGTCCAGTTGTGTATTTTGTCTTCTGTATTGAGTTTTGCAAAAAATTGTTTCAGTTCTTAATGGATCAAAGAAAATAGTGTCCTTTAATATCAGCCAGGCCTATACAATCCCCCTTTGGTTGGCTAACTTTAGACTGTTTATTAATTTGATATTCAGCTTTTCCTCTAAAAGATTCCAGACAACTAAAAGTAAAGCCAATCTTTTGAAAGGATGTCTTCAAAAAGTAAATTTTGCAGCACATGAATTCAATTGCCAAGACCTACTGCAATTCAGTAAGTGTGATCTGAGGAGAAATGTTTGTCCCCAGAACCTTCCAAATCTACTAAGACACTTAAAAAATATTGCCCTTTGAGGGTGTTTCAGACTAGAAGCTGGGAGCAATTATATCCAAGGTTGGAACAGAGATCTGTAAATAGCCCAAAGGAGAGACAGAAAACTCTTTGAGGCTCCTCTAAGCCAATATCCACCTATTTTCTTAGATGTGAAGATGCCCTTCGTAAAAGCAAGACACTGATTGGACCAGACCAACGTGAGTTCCTCCGAGAACTAGAGAGGAATTACCAACGCCTAAAGGAAGCCCTGCATCCGCTACTCAACCGCAAAATCCCTCAACTCTATACATCAGTTGCTCCTCATTCTGTACACAGGTGAGGCTTGCATGCCCAGCTTGCCTCTGCTATGAGTAAACACTTCAAAATGGAGGCTCAGAATCAAAGTGCTTTGCACAGACAGGTTTATTGGTACAATTCCACCACTGTTACACTTGGGGTGCTTCCTAATTTGTTTGTTTTGTTTTCATCTTTTCCTCCTTGGGATATAAATGAATCCCACTTAATTTTTCTAGGAATTCTGGTCCTCCAAACTAGGAAATATATCCTTGTGCTGCTATCCAGCACAAGATACTATGCTGTTGGATTATACTCAGATATTTAGAATGTCATAAGTGACACTGGGGTACTGTTAAGTTGTTTGTCACTTTTTTCAAGGAACACAGTTCTTACCATTAGTAATTTTGAATCCAATAGTGTCTGTTAAATGACATATGCCTGTTAAGGCTATTTTAAATCTTATAATGATTCTGATTGTGCCAGTTGCTTTAGAGAGATCCTGTTTCAGAATCAGACCCAAATCTAATGCAGTTCTTTTATTTATTCAGTAGAAATATACATTTCCGCCTTTGCCATTTCACTCTTTCCCCACATAGTGTAAATCCCTTTCTAATATTTGTTTGAAAACCTTCTTCTATTTCTCTTCCAGAAGTTCCTTCAATAGATTGAGTCTGAGGAAGATGGAAGCCTAGCCTGGATTGCTTGAATTGCAAGGAGTCTAATTTATGAAAGAAAGTACTGAACTTTGCAGCCGTCAGAGTTTCAGCCTTAATGAAGGATTGTACAATTATTTTGCACTGGAAGACAATATTGAGATTCCTGCCCCATTTTTCCTGGCACTGTTCAAGATTTGAAGCCAGAGTTTCAGTCAAATAGAAGGAGAATATTTGTTGAAGATGGTAGTAGAGAGAAACTGGCTCCCACATTCTGCCTTGTTGAAGACTGAGCCCCACCCTCAGGAAACTTCTCAGCACACAGCCATCTGGGTTGAGAACGCTAGGTCAGACCTACTGCAGATTTTCTTGATCCAAGTGGAGATTTGTGTCATAGACACTGACCTTGAATTTCCACATACAGCAGGTAGATCCAAAATGTAACTCTAGATGGACTTGGAAGTTTCTTCATTGTGGTTTCTCTGCTGTTTTCCCTTTGAAAGCTGAGATTAGCTGAAGAATTTGAAACCCTCCACTACTCACCCAATCCCTTCTTTTGTTCTGTGTTTTCACACGTTTTTGGCTTTTGATCACTTGGAATATCCAGTTATTTATGCATTCATAAGAATGGCTGTCTTAGTTTCTGGATCTCATTCCTAATTCAGGGAAGAATACAGTGGTATCTAGGTCAAGGTTAGAAGACTGAAACCTTATAACACCTGGATTTGATGCCTGCTGTACTCCTTGATCTTCCTATCCAGAACTTGGGCTGAAACCCAGGAATTATGATTCTTACCTCTGTTGCTCCTTGTTCTGTCTCCTAGGTTTTTTATTAAGAGCTCATAAACTACTTTTTGGAATCTTCATTATCTATATTTTAAAGATCTAAGATTTTAAAGATTTTAAATATTTTAAAGATTTAAAAGATCTAAAATGTTTATTTAGATTTCTGGTGAATCCCCAACTGTGCAGAATCTAGCCACCTGCGCCATGATCACTACCTGCTCGTCCTTAAGCAGCCACTGGAAATAAATACTTTCCAAACTATCAGGATACCTATCAATTATGGGGAGGATATGGTTTTTCCGAATAGCTCTATAGAAGGAACATTGAAGGAGTATGTGTCCAATGGTCTCCACCTCTCCTGACCCACAGGAGCAGTGTCTTTCAGCCAATGGTGTCTTTTTATACTTGCCATACAGGACGGCCAATGGAAACACATGGTACCGTGCAAGCGAGAATGCTTTCAGGTGGTTTACTGACTCCCAACTGACTAAGATATCTGACAGGTGTAACTACATATCTAATAGAATCTGGAGCCAGAAACAGCAGAGCCATACCTAAGTCCGCTTGCCTCTCGATGTCCTCTATCCCTTGACGCAAGGTTTGTTTTGCTTAGTCGTAGTCCAATTTGAGAATTGAGGCTGGCGATGAGTCTAGTTTGGCAAGGTTGGGCTCGACTGCCTTGATCCATGAAGAGGAGAATTTATCTTGAAGAATTAATGGAGCAAGGCCTTGCGGAAAGCAATTAAGCCTTAGCCAGATGTTTAAGGAAGCTATACAGATTCTTACTTTGACTTTTATCAATCCTGTCTCCAGGCGCCAAGTGCATTTGGGACACAGCGCGGCATCTGGAGAATTGTTCTGATAAATTTGGATTGAACTCTTTCCAATGGTGTAAAACATGAAGCTGAGGGTCCGAGCAAGGTCCCGTAGAGAAGCTGTGCTAGAGACTTAGCCAGAAAGAGCTTAATTGCAGCTGGAACATAGTATCCTCCCTTTGTGCGGAAAAATGTAAGAATGGCATTCGCTGATCGTTGGCCAGAGGCAGCCGCTTATTCTCCATGGGCTTTTTGTGAGCCAGAGGCACGGATGACCGCCCCTAAGTACTTAAAGGTGGTTACCTGCTTTTGTGGCTATTTAAATACCATGAGTACCGTTTTGGCCTTTTTGCAAAAGCCATAACCTTTGTTTTCTCATAATTTATGTCCAGTTTATTATATTTGCAATACTGGACAAGGGCTCGCAAGCCTCTTTTAAGGCCAACTGGAGTCTTGGAGATGATCACAGCGTCGTCTGCATAGAGCAGCAGAGCAACGCTTCAATCACCTATTTTGGGGGGATGGTAATTTGGATTATTTAATCATTTTACCATATCATTTATGTAAACATTGAAGAGCAAGGGGGCCAAAATGCACCCCTGTTTAACCCCCTTTTGAGTTTCAACTGACCTCGAGAGAGTCCCTTGCATATTACACTTCACCGTGAGGGATATTTTGGTATGTAAGGCACGTAACAGATGGAGGAGTCTGTGATTAATTGAGGCAGCTTCCAGCTTCTCCCATAGCTTAGTCCTTGTAACTGTGTCAAAAGCTGCCTTAAGATCTATAAAGGCAGTGTATAATGATACAGGTCTATCTGCTGCATATTTTTCAATCAAATGATGAAGAACTAAGCACTGATCTATGGTGCCTCTCCCCTCTCTAAACCTGGCTTGTTCTTCGGCAATCATGTTCTCAAGATCCAGCCACACCTTTAATTTATCTTGAAAGTGTCTGACATAGAGTTTGCTGATTATATTTAGCAGACTTATTGGTCTGTAATTGGCAGAGTTGTCTCTCCCTTTTTATAAATTGGGACCACAATTGCCAAGCCCCAATCCTCTGGGACATAGCTGGTGGGGTCAATATAGGTGAATAGCGCTGCCAGGATGGGTATCCACCACTCCATATTATTCTTTAGTAATTCAGCCAAAATGAAGTCAGCTTCTGGAGCCTTCCTGATCCTGAGTTGGCCAATGAGGGATTTAATTTCAGATTCTGAAACTGGAGGCCCCTCAGGTAAATCCTTCATTATAGACCTTGTACTCTCACTGGAGGAGTCTTCATACATTCTCTGAAAATGAAGTTCCCAGGTTATAGGAGATATATTACAGTCTAATGGGGTATAGATTCTTTCAGAGTGGCAAGCTATTAGATGCCAAAATAAGGAGGAGTTTTTTTGCTTTGTTCCAATGATGAGCTGTTCCCAGGAAGACCTTGTGACTTGTCTCTTCTTGAATGCAATCAGTTGCTTGAATTGTTTTTTGAGTGTAACTGTTTAAGAATTGCTTTATTGCTATATCCAGTCTCTCATTTGTACTTCTTGTATGCCAAGTTAAGGGCTTTCTTGGCTTCTACGCAATCCTTATCAAACCATGGTTTGGAGGCAGTACAGAACCTCTTAACTGAGAAATTTTGGTCATGTGCTAATAATGGTTGTAGCTCATAAATTAAACTTTTATATAGTTCGAATTAGTCTTGAATCGGGTTGGTTGATATAAAGGCTGCACGGATTTGTTGAAAATTATCCTTTGTTAGGGCTCTCCTTACCTTCTGATCAAGTTGTTGGGTCCATTTGACCTGACATCTCGTTAGGCCTACTATAGAGATTGCAGGGATAAAATGGTCCTTGGAAGGTATCTGCCTGATAAAGGGCTTCATGTATATACACAGAGGTAGATGATCATTTTCTAGGTAAGGCGGGACTTCAAAATTTTCTATATAATGTACTAAATCCGTAGAAGTTAAGATATAATCAGTGGTGCTAGTTTTGGACCCTGCCATAAATGTAAACTTGCCAGGATAGTCACCAGGCCATAAGCCGTTAGATATAAAGAAGTTAAATTTATTTGTCAACTTGGCGAGACAGGCCAGCATAGTTAGCTTTAATGTCTTTAGAGAGGGGAGCATTGGTTTGTATAGGAACCTCCAATGGTGGGTATTGATGATGTTTCATGAATAATGTATAATCATCTGGTCCCAATTTGGCATTAAAGTCTCCCCCTAGTAGGACCCTGGCGTTTGGGTGTTCCATGAGTTGTTTATTAACGTAGTGTTCCAACTCCAGCCATACAGCAGCGGTTTCAGCTTTTCTTAGTGAAGGAGGGAGATAAACATTAATTATCAAAAGCAGGATTGAGTCCAACTTGAGGAGAAGGGCCATAGCTGAATGGTTTAAAGAGGTAATAAGTGCTCTCTGCTCTCAAGTTGGTAGAAATAAATATACCATGCCCTCCTTTCAGTCTCCCTGGGCCTCTGTCTGGCCTTGCTTCCAGCTTATATGAATAATAGCCATTAGGCAGGAGATCATCAATAGTCCAAGTCTCTTGCACCAATATAATATCCTTACCTTTCAGAGGAGCAGAGTGATTAAGGCCTCTAAATCGATACCACCTGGCTACATTCCATGACATGATGTTTAAAGTGTTTAAAGTGTTTTTCTTGCACTGGCCTTCATATACATAGTTCAAGTTCTCCATAGGGGCACTTGTTGGAGGATAGTTATAATAATTGTTATTTGATTCATTAGGTTGAGTAGTTGTCAATGCTTCTTTTAAACCATCCAGTCTCTGTGTACTATTAGCTTGCTCAGGTTCTGACAATACATCATTAAAGTCTATCAACATTTCTTCTGGCACGCCCTCAGCAGAATCAGTGACTGTGGGTAACTCAATTTGTGGATCACTTCTCTGCTTTCTCAAGGTCAATTCAGCTGCCCCTGCTTCAAACTTATCAGTATGAGGTCTGTTGCCGCTTGGATTTAAAGCAATAGTTCCCTCATGGAGAGACTGAACCAGGAGTGGGCGCAGGTTCCCTGAACAGAAGACACGTATTGGAAATATTGAAAAACTGCTCAGGAAGTGCTTCATTCTAAAAAAAAACATTGAGGGAATTATGGACTGCTTGAAGGATAATGAAATTTGCATACATTGCCTTCTTGCTGGCAATCACTCTGCATGTAATAAATCAATCTGAGTATACTCACAGTGGAGCAGCTGGCTCAGAGACTGCCTAATAGCTTTTCTATCACTTCAATGTCCTCTATTCCTTCTGTTGTCGTAGATTTGCAAGGTAACCTGGTTGGTCTGTAAACTGAGGTTATAATGGTCACCTCTACAACTATTTGATTGAGTATTGTTTTCTTTGTGGATATTCTTTTCTCTCTTGTTTATAGAAATGGGAGAGGGACCTATTCTAGTTTCCATTTCTGCATTAGCCATCCAATGTCTATCATTATGTGTCCTCCTGGGTCCTTCTGCAATGTTTGTTTGACTGCTGATAAACTTTGCAAAAAACTCTTTCAAGCAGTCAACTTTATTTGTGACAATTGATAAAAGTTCGTAGATTGAATTTACAGTTTGAGCTGTGAACAAACATTGTCTAGAAAGGAGATCATTCTCCTTTCATTCTCCCTTACTAAGTTTGTTACTATGCCATCCTGTGCAGGAAAAGCAGGTAAGGAATTCCAGGGAGGGGAGCTATTTTCTGTGAGAGAAACAGAAAGTTCTATATGCTGTTTGCTTTCAAGTTCAGTTTGTAAATCCCATTCCAATGAGTCACATATAGATGAGTTACTTACTGGAGCAGACTGTCTATTTGCAGCGAAATCTTCCATTTTCTGCTGCTTCGGTGGCTTGGAAGAACTCTGTGCTGCTGAGTGAACATGCTGCCTCTTTCTCCTTTTCCCCATTCTTGGTAATCCTGCCTTGTAGAGTTGTTAAAATGTAGGTAAAAACAATGGCAGCCTCTCCAGTATATATCTTTTATAAAAAGTCTTTGACTATTATAAAAAGTCAAACAAGGGTTAAAACAGATTTAAGAATAGGTTAAAATAGGTTAAAAATGGGTTAAAAGTAAGTTTAAATGCAGTGTTAAAAAGGGTTAAAAAGTTAAAAGAAAAGAAAAGCTTTTACTTTTGGAGGAGCTCTTTACAGCCATTATCTATATTTGCTACATGGACCAAAAAAACGTATAAAGTTTTTCCAAGAAGAGGTCACTCACTCTCTCCTTCCCTCTCACACCTGCAAACGAACTACATCAGTGCATTCTACCAAAGGACTAGGAGGGTGGATGGGTGAAGGGAAACCTTCATCCAAATGCATAGCTTTGTGCATTTGTTTCTTAAGAAAATTAGTATATTTTCCTTTTTGTATGTTTTTCTCTCTTCCCCCTCCCTCCCAGGCTTCCCCAGCAAATGATACAAGCTAAACTTGAATTCTAAATGATATATATTCTTGTCAGAAATATTTTCCTGGCAGAGCCCTTGACTCTAGAGATAGAGTGAAGGATTTATGGGGAGATAGGTGGAGTATCTCTGAAGAGTACTCTGATTTAATTGGAAAAAGTATGAAGTTTCATTCCAAAATGTACATCTATGTGCATTTCTTCCAGATAGCCTTTTTAATTTTCAGGAACATACAGAAACACTATGCCATTTAAATGCAAGGATGTCCTGATTATTGTGATTTGACCTAGCCTTTTAAAGTGAAGCCTTCATTAACTGTAGAAAGCAAAAATTGGTTAGCAGCTCATCATAGTTGTCAATCTTTAACTAAAGCTGCTTCTGTTTGGAATCAAAATACAGCTCCACCATTTTCTCTAGATCAGAATTCTATCTTGTTCCAAATCTATCATGGATAGCTGAGCCTTGATCTTTGTCTTGAGGAAATTATAATAAACTTTAATTATAATCCAATTTTAAAAAATGAAATATGAAATGTCCAGCCCCATGCTTTTTCATGGATACCAAAGCCTTGCTTATTTGTATTGAAGAATTCCATACAAACTATATTTGTCCAATATCAGAATGAAATCAGTAATGTGATGGAACCTGTATCCCATGAATTTCCATTTTTGAAAAAATCAAATTTCCATCCCCCATAGCTAAAATTAAAGCTGAAGAATATTGGCAGAATATCATCATCATCATCATCATTATTATTATTATTATGAAGTAGTAGTAGTAGCAAGGGACCTTGGAGGTCATCTAGTCCAACCCCCTGCTCAGGCAGGAAACCCTATACCATTTCAGACAAATGGCTGTCCAGTCTCTTCTTAAAAACTGTTGGAGCATTCACCACTTCTGGAGGCAGGTTGTTCCACTGGTTAATTGTTCTAACTGTCAAAAGATTTCTCCTTAGTTCTAGGTTGCGTCTCTCTTTGGTTAGTTTCCATCCATTGCTTCTTTTCCTGCCTTCAGATGCTTTGGAGAATAGCTTGACTCCCTCTTCTTTGTGGCAATCCCTGAGATACTGGAACACTGTTCTTATGTCACCCCTCATCCTTCTCTTCATTAAACTAGACATACCCAATTCCAGCAACCCGTTCTTTATATGTTTTAGTCTCCAGTCCCTTGATCATCTTTGTTGCTCTTCTCTGTACTCTTTCGAGAGTGTCAAAAAAAATTTTTTTACATCATGGTGACCAAAACTGATTCAGTATTCCAAGTGTGGCCTTACCAAGGCATTGTAAAGTGGTATTAACACGTCACGTGATCTTGATTCTATCCCTCTGGTAATGCAGCCTAGCACCATGTTGGCTTTTTTGGCAGCTGCAGCATAATGTTGTCTCATATTTAAGTGATTGTCCATTAGGACTCCAATATCCATCTCACAATTGCTACTATTGAGCAAGGTACCCCCTATACTATACCTGTGCATTTGGTTTTTCTTGCCTAAATGTAGAATCTTACTTTTTTCACCACTGAATTTCATTTTGTTAGATAGCACCCAATGTTCAAGTCTGTCAAGATCCTTCTGTATCTTAAGCCTATCTTCTGGAGTGTTGACTATTCCTGCCAGCTTGGTGTCGTCTGCAAATTTATGAGTTCCCCATCTATCCCCTCGTCCAAATCGTTGATGAAGATGTTGAAGAGCACTGGGCCCAGAACAGAGCCCTGGAGCACCCCACTACACACTTCCCTCCATGTAGATGCAGTTCCATTGAGGACCACATGTTGAGTACAGCTGATCAGCCGGCTACGGATCCATCTGGTGGTGATGCTGCCTAACCCACATTTTTCTATCTTATCAAGTAGTAGGTTGTGGTCTACTTTATCAAATGCCTTACTGAAGTCCAAGTAAATTATATCCACAGCATTCCTCTGATCCACTAATTTTGTCACCTGGTCAAAGAATGCAATAAGTTATTGAGTTAATGTAAGCAGTTAGCCAGAATTATTTGTATTTGGAAAAGTCTGATGTTACTGTCCTTTAGCATTATTTCCAGATTTGTAGAGATGTCATATCGGGTTAGGTGCCCAGTTTGGCTTTATCTCTGGCATAAAATGACTGAAGGGTAATTGGCTATTTGCTATGAGAGAAATAAACTTTCCAAGTCAAGTGATTGCTGGGGATTTTGTGGAACTATCCACATGGTTTTCTTTTAACAATATAACAATAGCATTTAGACTTACATACTGTTTCTTATATACTGTCATTTAGACTTATGTACAGACCTCTTTAAGCAGTTTACAAAGTCAGCATATTGCCCCCAACAATCTGTGTCCTCATTTTTCCAACCTCAGAAGGATAGAAGGCTGAGTCAATATAGCAATGGTTAGTCATTGCCATCTTCGGGGATAAGTTTTCAACCTATTAGTTGGACCTCATATCCATGTATTGCCCAGGTTTGATCCTTTTTAGATTTTCAAGATCAGCAAAAGCCAGTTGATGGGGTGGGGGAAATTTGAAGAAAAAAGATTGCAGTGGTGGGATTCAAATACCTGAACAACCGGTTCTATTATGTGATGCAGGCCTGGGCTTTTGATGCCTAGAATGAACTTCCAGAAGTGGTATCCATGCACTTCCAGTGGGCCGTTCTAGGCCTGGGAGGCCTCTGAGGCCTAGACTGACTTCCAAAAGCCAGCCAATTCTCCAAATTCAGGTAAATTTAGTTATTGGTTCTCCCGAACTGGTGTGAACCAGCTGAATCCCACCACTGAAAGATTGTGAATATGACAGTGAAACAATCAATGAAGCAAAGTAAAATCAGGAATATCTGCTATTCAGGAACCAATAAAGAATCTTGTCAAGTAGGATGAAAAAATTACAATGATAGAAGGACTATTGGCAGATATGAGATCCATATAGCCATGAGAATTGGATGAAGAAACTAATGATAGAGTTGCAGTACATAGTCCATCTCTTATCAGAGGAATTGTTAGAGTTGAACACTGCTTGGCTGAGAAAGTAGGGAACAACTAAACTCCTAAATGTGTTTGGGAGGCTGGACCCTGCACATTTGTTCTGATGGCAGAAAAATAGTCTAAAGAAGAGACATGATAGAAGTCCTTATATACCAGAAGAGCTGTCACAGGGAAGAGGGTATGGATAGGTCCATAGGTCCAAGGGTAGAAGAAGAACCAATCTTCAGCAATTTTCTGAGCACATGAGTTATTAAGCAGAACAGCCTATCTCTGGACATTCTCAAGCAAAGATTGGACTTCTATTTATCTGGGATGATCTGAGGATTCCTGTTCTGGGCAGTGGATTGGTTTAGAAGTCCTCCAAATCCCTTCCCAGTCAGTGATTCTAGGATGGAGGACATTTCATTGGAAGGCAAAGGGAAGGAGGCTGATGCTTGTCTTGAAATAATTGCAAATTGAAGTTTTTACAGCACTTGGCAATAGCAATAGCACTTAGTCTTATATACTGCCCCATAGTGCTTTATGCCAGGGCTTTTCAACCTTTTCAAAGATTGTACCACGTTTAGGATACGGCAATATTCAAGTACCACCAGTCACCTAGCAGGTGGGCGTGGCCTGCTCGATGTCACTCACTGGACACAGCTGACTCGAAACAGCTGGGTCAGAACGGAACAAGTTGCATCAGCTAACTCGATGGGGAGACAACTCAGTGCCCCACAAACTCCTCGCCTCCCCAAACTGCTAGCAGCCAAGTGCATGATGCACACACACCGCATTCCAAGTTTGGGGACTTTTATCCACAGAGGAAGGAGAGGGCCTTCAAATGTCTTACTGAAGTCCAAGTAAATTATATCCACAGCATTCCTCTGATCCACTAATCAAGCCTAGGCATGATTGGCAGTTTGTAGTTCAGATGTGGATAAAAGTCTCCAAGCTTGGAATGGTGTGTGTGTGTGTGTGTGTGTGTACACGTGTGTAGCATTCCAAAGGAGACGTTCTCCCAATCCCAGACATCGTTGGTGTTTCCCTGTCCGGTGCCACCCCCCCAGCAAAGCAGAAGGTGGAGGACGACGCTGCTGCGTGTGGAAGCACGGAGGAGAAAGTTTGCAGGAAGCTGTTTCTTCCAAGTCTAACTTCTGCCTTGACAGA